TTCTATCTGTGCTACAGGAATCATCTGGAGAGAGACGAGCCGCATCTGAATAGTGAGTCAGATAAAGCAATATATTTCGATAATCATTGGTCAGATCTCATTCAGGATGTTACAAATGTCCAGATCAATGCAGATTAACTGTGTCAGCAGGGACTAATTCACGAGGAACAATATTCCGAAATCACACATGAAAGTTTAACCAGTCAAGAGAGCATGAGAAAGATGAGAAACACAGACATCCTGTGAAAGCTAAACTCATCTCAGTTCTTCAGGAAGAGAAGCTTTACCACTTTTGAACATTGGTCAGCTCAATCTGCATGTGTCTAAAGGAGTAGTTCACCTTTTTAAAAACTTTTGCTGATAATTTACTCTCCTCCATGTCATCCAAGATGTCCATGTCTTTCTTTCTTCAGTCGAAAAGAAATCTTTTCTTCAATGGGGTCCAAACGGTTCAAGGTCCAAATGAGACACCAGACGATGAATAAGGGTCTTATCAAGTGAAACGATCGCTCATTTAATAAATAAATAACAAAGTTTAAGTTTTATAAGCTCAAATGCTCGCCTTGCTCTTTTCTGTGATGCGTGTTCGTGACTCTCCAGTTCAAACTCGTTCATCAAAACGAACAAATCTTTTTCCGAGTCAATTTGTTTGTTTCGTTCATTGAATGAACCAAAAGACTCGGAAAAAGATTTGTTCATTTTGATGAACGAGTTCGAACAGGAGAGTCACAAACTCAAACTTGTTTCGCATGATAAGACCCTTATTCATCGTCTGGTGTCGTTTAAAGCTCTTTGAACAGTTTGCACTGAAACTGTCTTTTCAGCCTTGAACTGTTTGGTTCCCATTGAAGTCCATTATACGGAGAAAATTCTGGAATGTTTTCATCAAAAATTTCTTTTCGACTGAAGAAAGAAAGACATGGACATCTTGGATGACACGGGGGTGAGTAAATTATCAGCAAAAGTTTTTTTCAAAGTGCTGAACACAAACTGAAGACTTTTCTAGTAGTGATTCAGGCGAAATATTCTTTTAACCAAATATATACATAGCAGCTTTGACTATCTTCCAAAATATTAATACACACTAACATTTAAGGATGCTCATTACGGTTAATTTTCCCGACCGACAACCGCCGCTCATTGATCGATTATTAACCGTTAACTGATAAGATTATAATATTGAATTGGCATTAAATAAAAAATAAAATTGGCGCGTATTTGTGAGCCATTAAAAAAACAAACAAATGTTTTTTTATTTATCAAAGGGTATATTTTAATGTGCAACGTGCAAACAGCAGCATACAGAACAGATATACTGGATATAAATATAGCTTTGAGGAGCAATGGCGACACCGCATCCCCGGTGCCTTTAGTTAGGTAACGAAACGGTCACCTAAACATCCACATCCAGACCAAAATAGCCCACTTCCTGTTGGACTGGCTTAAAACTTAGAGCACAGTTTCATATTATTACTTGCAAGTGTGTTTGGTTTATGGACCAAGTTAATTTAATAAATAAACTAATTATATTAAACTATTGTCAATGCACTACAATTAAACTGGTTATATGCCTTTACTTTATGAATAAAAATTATTTAGACAATAAATTAGGACATTTTTTTTTTCCTTTTTAATGCAGGCCAAACCACACAGCAATGAAATGGTTAATCTAGTTAATCTTAAATAAATGATGAGCATGAGACTTTTATTGATCAATTGATGTCTCTTTGAAAAAGACAAATTGGGAGTGTCAAGTTTCCCACTTTTTTATTCAGCTCTGCCCAAACTTGATATGGCGTTCAAACATTGAAGGACGCAAGAGAAAGCAACTCATTGACTTGACTGTTTATTTTCTGGGATTGCAGAGGTATTTGCAGAAGCAGTAGTCAGCAATAGGTCAGAAATAGATCAGCAATAGGTTGATAATCTTTAAAGATAAAATTAGACAAAAGAAAAACACACTAATATAACAACATTTAACGTCTCATTTACCTTCAATATCAATCAACTAAATCAAAATGCTTTGACACAAAATAATAAATGTTAACAAACTTAAACACCTTTCCCTCAAATCACACCAAATCATACAAAATCTTAGCATCAATCAGTAATGTAGCAAGCAAACTAGTAAAATCCATCAAATATGCTGAAACACAAAACTGATCTCTTACAACTCATAGATTACATCAAAAATAAATAAATAAATTCATGTTCATACCAGTTGCTTCTTCAAGTTTGAATTTGTTTTAACTGAATGTGGGTGAAATTCGTTGCAAGTCCAGCAAGAGATCTTCTCCAAACTTTTCACCTGCTCTTGTGGTGCACCACTTTATTGTGCCCCCTTGGAAACAACCCCTCCCAATGGTTCCTGCCCAGTCACCACACTACACTGCCCTCTACAGGAATTTTTGAGTATAACAGAATTTAAAGAAAAACCTCATTGTTTTGACGAAACAGGGAGGTTGAGGTTTAATCCAAGTCTTATGAGGTGAGATGATTACTTTGTATGATGAGCAATTTTGAGTCCTATTCTTTCAAATCAAATATGTGATCAGTTCATGTCTACAGAAGCCAAATCAAACATGGTTATGTCAATAATATCAACCCTCAATAGTGGTTGTGTCAGGATTTGGGCTCTGTAAACCTCAGAGACATCTCTAAAGATCTTCAGTGTTGGAGGATTTCTGCATGTGTTAGCGATCGCTTTCCCTTGACACGATAATCACACTCTTCACGTCTGTCGATTTCCACAGTCGCTGTTCCCAAGACCAGGAGCGAGTTCCTTCAATGTAAGTCAGAAAACTCTCTCACTGTGTTCATGCTCTTCTGGAGAAGCTGAGAGAAAAATTGATCATGTAAATGATGATTCAACTGTGCTGAGACATTCAGCTTCATAAAAGATCAGATTCATAATTCCTGATTGTGCTGTGTTTTATCTCCATCAGATTCCCATCCGCTCACTCTGGATATGAACACAGTGCACACATTCCTCCATCTGTCCGAGGACAGAAGAGTGATCACTTTCCACTTCCAAGAGGAGTCGTATGTTGATCATCCAGACAGATTTGATCATTATCCTCAGGTGTTGTGTAGAGAGAGTGTGGGTGGACGCTCTTACTGGGAGATCGAGTGGAGTGGGATTGGTGTTGCGCAGATAGCAGTGTCGTATAAGAGCATTAGCAGGAAGGGATCAGGGGATGAGTGTGTGTTTGGAGGTAATGATCAGTCCTGGACTTTGATTTGCTCTCCCCCCAAAACTGTATTCCTATACAATACCAAAGTGACTTATCTCCCTGTAGTGTCCAGCGGTATAATAGGAGTGTTTGTGGATCACAGTGCAGGAACTCTGTCCTTCTACAGCGTCGACAGAGACACAATGAACCTCATACACAAAGCCCAGACCACATTCACTAAGCCGCTCTATCCGGGGTTTGGGGTTGGTCTTGGATCAGTGAAACTGTTGAAGAATTAGAATAGACTGTAGAGAGATTCTACCCATAATGCTTTGAGCTGTGTGATAAAAAATAAACATTGAGATGTTATGGAGTCTTTTATTTTCTCTTCATTACATCAATAACAGCTGAACTTCTATTTCTGAAATACGTCAGAATAAATGTGTGTAATAAATCCTCATATAGACATCAATGTGTGTGATGGTGTGTATCTGTGCTTTTCTCAAGCTCTGTTTGTGTTCATGAAGATCAGTCATTTAGTTTTGTAGTAGAATCACATCTCTCATTTATAATTTATGCATCTTAAACGTATTTTAATCCAGGTGTATTTTAGGGGTTCAAGCACTGAAGCTGCTGCAACATTATTGTATTTTATCAGTTATTATTTTTCTGCTCTAAACATGTCTGGGCGTCAGATACCCCTTTTCCACCAACAAGAACCAGGTGCTGTTTCAGAGCTAGAGCTAGTGTCGGTTCGAGTTGGGTTAGGTTTGACTGATGAGCCTCCAAAGAACCGGTGTGCTTTTCAACAGGCTAAAGAGCCAGCACGGGCCAGGTCTTACGTCACTACCCTGCTGGAAAAACCAGCATATGTTGTGTTTTGGTGCTGGTATACTGGTGACCAGGATGCTTGTGAAAATCATGAAAATACAAGCTTACATTAAAGCCACACCATGCAGTCTCAGATTTTTTTGTAAAACAGTGACCTCTAGAGCCGCTGTGGTGTACTTGCACTGTCGTAAATAACCGTTATTCCCCTGTTACTGCATATCTACTGAACTACTGTCAAGTGTTAGACTGCTTTTTAATAATAAAGTTGCCTATCACGTTTGCTGGCTTATAACGTTTTTACATGATTTCTGTAAAATCAGAAGTAATACGTTTGGACTACTGTATAATTTCATTTATGTTAATGTAAACATTACAAAATGTCAGATGACATCAATAAAGTTAAATGTACGTCGAATTATTTCATAACATTGGCCGTTATGATTTCATTAGACATGATTATTACAATTTATCATAATAGCAAATTGTGTTCAATTATTTACAACCTCTAGGCTCATATATGTCCTAATAATTATGTGAGATATTGACTTGTCCTCATGATAATCGCAAGAATCAACATCAACAGCGTCAAGATTTATTTGATTCATAATCAACACAATTTGAAGTAAAGTTACAGTCGGGAAGTGCACTGTTAGTCAGATAAAGTTTATATAACAGTAACTTACGCACGCTATAAGAAATCCAAACCAGACACACGTGATAAATACACATCACAACACCTGAGTTCTGGCAAACTAGCTCTTGTGGCAACCTCGGCAATAAAACATCACGAAAAAAAACAACAAGACTAAGAGAAACGACTGTTTGTTAGGAAGTTTGCTTACAGCTCTGGTAATTGAAAGCTAGACATGTGAAAATTATTGAACTGGTCTAATTATCAACAACGGATGAATGAACAGCACTGTAAAATATGACAAACTACAAGCCAGCGCAGCAACATAGAACGCAAACAAGTTTACAAATAAGAGATTTACTTACAAGTCCATCAACAAGATCGCCAGGTCAGCATCGCAGTTACAATCCAGTGCAGCGCCAACGAGTGAAAGCCCGACCGAGGGGACTCCGGTCCGGTTTCTAGCACGGTCCGATTCTCTTTCCCTTTTTCTGGACATTTCTGACCGAGTTTTCTTGGATGCGCGAAAGTAGCTTCATACAGTATGTTGTTGTTGATGTGTGTGACGTCGTTGCCGTAAAGCATTTCGTGATTCTCGCGAGCTGTGTCAGGGGCGCCGCTCTCAAACTTGCATGGCTGGTTTTTCCGGCGGCGTCCCCCCCAAAGCTCTACTACTAAAAATCCGTTCAAAACTGTGATGACGTCACACAATAGCAGAATGAGATGGTTTTGAAAAAAACGTTTAGATAAAGGTTCGAGTGACTAATCAAAGACTAATCTGATAGAAAAATATTGTTTTTAAGGTTATCCGTGTTATATTTCAGGGGAATCCCTGGCCTAGAGGTTGTAAATTGTCATGATGCAGCAGACACCAGGGAATAATCAATCCACAGGTCAAAATACCAGAAAATACAAGACTTTGCGGTGAGTGAATGAGAACACAAGGTATTTATAGTGTGAACTGAACAAGACAATAGCATGAGAACAAGGTAAATGAGATGAGTGCTGGTGAGTCCGGGCAGTGAGTTCTGGGAAATGTAGTTGTGAGTGAAAGATGAACATCTGGTGTGGAGTGCCCTCTGGTGACTCTCAAGGGCACTCCACCTGGAGACCGTGACATAAATAGTGTTTTATGATAAATTGTAATAATCATGTCTAATGAAATCATATAACGGCCAATGTTAAGAAATAATACGACGTACATTTAACTTTATTGATGTCATCTGACATTTTGTAATGTTTACATTGCAATCAAAAAACACAAATGAAATTACCATACTTGTGATTTATCAGAAATCATGTAAAAATCGCTATAGGCAACTTTTTAAATATAAAGTAGTCTATCACTTGACATATAGTTATTAACCTATTATTACCATCATCAGTAGTTCAGTAAGCAAGTCGGTTATTTACGATAGTGCAAGTACACCACAGCTGCTCTAGGGGTCACTGTTTTACAAAAACATCAGAGCTGTGACTCAATCTGCTCAAACTCAAACTCAATCTATGATAGTCTGTCTATAACGAGCTATGCAATATTATTGTTAGGTATTATTTTTGCATTGAAAAAAAAAGATTTTTGTATTATTAATATTTTATCAGGGCACTCCTGCAAGAAAGCAGCCGCTGCTTTAGCACGGGTGTCAGCTGACCAGTGGTTGGCCAATCACAGATCAGCTGGTGACGTAGCCGAGGCTGTAAACATGTACAGTATAAACACATGGCTGTCAGCTCCTGCACTCAGACAGTCAGCATGGACAGAGTAAGTCTTCTCACTTCATTATTACTCAGTGCTGGGGTTTGTTCTGTCTCACTGAACTCGTACTTTAATGTGTTTGTAACTATAGATGTGTCGCTCCTGTTGTTACATCATCGCTGCCGTATTATTTTGCATAACAAGTCTGCTTGTTTTCAACACTGAAGTTTGCAACGAAACTATTTAAAAGATTAACACGGTCGGCTATTTCATTTAATGAAAAAAAAAACATCATGCAAATAACAACTTGTAGTTGCACATCGAAAAAGGTAATAACGTGATAATAGTAAACGCTGAATTGTTTCTGCGCCATTAGCTCCAGTTTACAAGCTGTCAATTCTGTTCCTGTCAGAAATACTGCGTCGTAGTTTTCATTAGTTTACTATTATTCTATTATAGTGTGGGAAAGAGTCAGTGCTTTTCAGTAAAAGGCGTAAATTCAGTATGGTGGCACTTTATACATTAGTTGAACTTCAAACAATATGATGAGGGATTTTATCTTCATCTAAAAAGGGAAATAGTGGAGGACTGTGGGACTCGGTGAAGAAAGCCGCTTTTGTCATCGGATCTGGGCTTTTCTTCCTGGTCGGGTTTAGAAACTCAGTGACATGGTGAGCAATTTTCATTTTCATGTCAGCCTTGCATTAAACCTCATGATCTGCTGCCTGTGCTGTATCTGTCCTGTATCCAGCGATCATTAATCGTTAAAGAGCTGCTTGTGTTTTGAAGGCATTTGCAGAGGTTTTGGGGAGCGTCTGGAGACTTCTGGCAGACACAGTTGACCAAGCTTCACCAAGCCATGGGTGGAAATGAGGCTGCCTTGTTCTTTATCGGTTAGAGATTAGTAAAACTTGTTTTTAACCTTTATGCAGCTTCCCCTCTGGACATTGATCATGAAATGTTCATCTGTTGTTCCAGACTGAACCGTCTGCCTTTAAAGTACAAAAAGAGAACATATTGATCTTTGTTAGTGTCAGTCTGGACCTGGAAAAGTTCACTTAAATAATATAATTTTGGCAAAAACCACTGTATTCTGCATCAAGACATTTTATTTAGTTGAACTTTCCAAGTAATGCAAAGAGTTGAAAGTGGTTTCTGGCCAAACATGACTGGTGTGGTGTTGAACAGGGACGATGCTGGTGCCGACGCTCTCCTTCTGGCTGTTCAACGCCCTGCTGATGCTGGTCGACACGACGGGGAAGCCGAGCTTCATCACACGCTACAGGATCCAGCCTGACAAAAACAATCCGGTACCGTCCTGTTTAAACTCTGAATCACGTCTGTTTCGAATGGTACGGGAGCCATCCCAGGGCCTTCCAACCCAATCTCACAGCAATTCGTACGAATTTTACAAGGTTTACAGCCTAACTCTTACGAATTAGTACAATTTTTGCTAAATCGTACATATTTTACGAGTTGGCCAATTTGTATGAATTCGTACGAATGACCTACCCCTGACCCCGCCCCTAAACATACCCATCAAGAGGGTATGAATCGTATGAATTAGTACGAATTAGACACTTTTTAATCACTCGTACGAATTGGTCCTGAGATAGCGTTGCCATCATTCCATCATTTAATTGACTCTAATTACAACTGACCAGTGTCGAATAATGTTACAAAATATTCCATTTCAGATAAATGAAAATTAAAGCAAATTAAATTAACTTAAGCACCATGTCGATATCGGACGATATTTGTTTATTTTTAATGTTATTGTCTCAATATGAGAATTTGGCCGATATATTAAAGCTGGTAAATAATATTTCCTTCAGCGGAGACACTTTAGATGGGCTCTGTTCAACATGACTGCTTTAAACTGCTTGAAATATGATTGAAATCACTTCAGAATAGGAGAAAACAGTTCAGTGCAACATGTGCATCGCAAATCTGTCATATAAGCCACGTAACATTATCATACTCATCATTATAGACCATTTCAAAAGATGTAAACAACACTGGTCCAGAAGCACTTCCTGTTTCAGTTTTTTAACACTACATAAAAGCTGGGATAAAATACAACCAACAGAACATTTAAAACTGAATCAAAAAGTTAAACAAACATCTTTAAGATGCTTTCTTTACATGTGAAATAAAGAAAACAGATACAAACTGAAACAGGAAGTGCTTCTGGACCAGTCTTGTTTACATCTTGTGAAATGGTCTATAATTGTGTGTTTGGGACGTGGCTTTTAACGGTGAGACTTGTTTTCGTAATCAGGCTCTCCAAAATTATATAAAAATGTGGGTTTCGATTTATCTGCCAGTATATCATATCGATGCATCCCTATTATGTTTACAGTATTGTTCAATAAAAACATACGGTTACTTTCATTTTAGACTGTATGGATCCAATTATTAATAACAAAAAAATATCCAATTGTTGGATTAATCATCACAATAATTGGTCAATTACTTGATTACAACAATAATGTATAGAGGCAGCGCTAGTATAAAGTAGAAAAGAAGACAGATCCAGCTTTCTCTCATTAGTTCTTGCTGGGAAATGTATTCACACAATTATTTTGCTGTTATTGCACTGATTTGAATGCATTTACTATTAGACCAGTACGTTTTTTGAAAACCTCGTCGTTAGAGAAATTGCATGATGCTTCCTTATTTTGTGTCTCGCTAATAATGCCGACATGTTTCAATAGCATCTCCGATTTAAACGTGAAAGGGCAAAAATGCAGGAAAAAAATAGTTAGAGTTGGTCAATTTAAGTCATTTTTATGTAGTACTTTAGACTTCTGTTTCAGTAAATCAATTCAAAACTCTTAATTAAGTTATTCATTTGCAGCAGCGCTCAAAGATGTTAAGGGTGTATTAGTAATATATCTGCAAATATTGCTATGTATTGATATACTACAGTAAATATATATTAGAGTGTCTCCTTTCTGTGTAAACCACGGCTCAATGTTTGACTGTATTTCTGCTCATAGTCCAGATGTCGTTGAAGGAAAACATTGGTCTGTAAAGTGATAACTTTCCGTACTGATAACAATTTTAGCACGCATTACATACATTTAGATTACACAGCACATATAATCTTAAAATAACAGTCGTAAACGCGTTTCGATGATGTGGTGTGTAATAATAATAATGCCTGGCTATTAAAGCAAAGAGAGAAGCTCAATAATACCCTGTTTATGATAAAGTTCAGAGTTCACCGATGACAGTCTCAGCCATTATATGAAGCAACTGATAATAATAATCTGTACAGGTTTTCTCTCAGATTATGCGTTACCCTTCAGTAACCTCCACTTTAGAGAGATAAGTAACAACTACATGTCAACTAACGAGTTGGTAGAATAAGTTGACATGTATGAAAGAGTAACGGCCCTATCGCACACCAGGCGCGACGCAAGTGTGTTTTGCTAGTTTCAGCCCGACGCAGTTTTCATTTTTACGAGTGTGTGTTCAGGTTGATGGTACGTTGCTATTATGAGGAACTGAAATAGACTTTGAGACATTGACCAACAGAAACACGGTCTAAAGTCAATGGCACAATATTTATTTATTAATTAAAGAGCGTGTTAGTAATATTAGTGCACAATGTGTTACACCCTGCTTATCACACACACACACTCACACAAACACGCCAAGGTTAAAAAATTACAATGTAAGAGATTATAATAGTCTACATAAAGATATTGTGAATCCGCCTCGTCTTGTAGATGGTCTCGCTTTAACCTCACACACACACACACACACACACACACACACAGCTTTAACCTCGCGCATGAGCAGATCTGTTTCCTTGCTAGAGAAGCGTTCAGTTTTTCCGCTTGCTAATTCCTCCGTGTAAATAGCGAATCCGCCATGAGAGCGCAACTGGCTATAAAGCGAATGGGAGACGAGACTCTGATTGGTTTATTGCACGTTATGCCCAAAACACACCCATGACTCATTAAGAGAATAGAGACAACACTTTTAGACCAGCGTCAAAAGTTTTAGACTTTTAGACCGGGGTTGCTCATCAGCAATCACGCCAGCGGCCTAGCGCCCCTCTCTCACGGCCTCGTCCTGCTCGCCACACTATAGTCAGTAGAAGGTCTGTTGCGGAGCATCAAAGTAAAGTGTTAGCAACTCAATGTAATGAGTACCAGTAATGAGTGTTTTCCCGGCAGGTGGACCCAGACCGGTTGCGTCACGCGGTGAAGACGGTGCTGTTTAACCAGGTGTGTCTGTCAGGGCCGGTGGTGGTTCTGGTCTACATGCTGATGCAGTGGCGCGGGGACCCGTGTAGCCCGGAGCTGCCCAGCTTCCACTGGGTCCTGCTGGAGCTGTCCGTCTGCGGCCTGTTGGAGGAGGTGCTCTTCTACTACACACACAGGTCAGCTACACATCATACTCTTCTACTACACACACATCATACAGCTCACAGCAGAATCAGTGGCTACATTTACATGCAACCAGATAATCCGTTCAGACTGAAAAGCCCTCTAAAAAAGGCCCTCATATAAACACCTTAGTCGATGTGTGTGTGTGTGAGTGAGTGACTGAGTTTAAACACCTTAATCGATCTGATTGAGCTCGATCCGAATCAAATTTCTATGTATTTAAAGGGGTGGTTTATTTCTTTTCTAATCTGATGGAGAAAAGCCTGCCGCATCACAAACACCCCTTGCCAAGGCAGCAGAGGAGGCGCCTCTGGAGGAGTGAACCCTTAGACCCGTCGGCGAAACCCATAGACAAGAGCAATAGCATCCCTGACCCAATGACATAAGAACCATCTTTATGGTCAGAAGTTTGTCAGACGCTGACTAGCAAAGTCCCACGAAGGAATCTTGGTTGTTACGGGAGGCCTCAGTCGTCTGGCCCCACGAATGAAGCGAGCGAGTAGAGGATGTCTCCCGAGTGGCACCCCGTCGACCAAGGCGTGGCAAGCCAAAACATAAACCCTGAGAGTGGCGGAGCATGTGCCTGTTGATAACTTTTCCAGAACTGAAGCAATCTAGCAGTTGACCGGATCTGCATCATGTACAACACAACACCCTTTAAAGACACCCATTTGTCTAGTGGAAGAGGCCCTAGCACTTCGAATGGTCTCAATCACGGCAGGCGTCCCTCAGTTCATACCCATCAGGGGCCAAACATGAAGGATCCACAGGTCGGGCCTGGGATGTGGGAGTGAATGGCTGTTTTTGTTTTGAAGTCCATTAAAGTGCATCCATCAATCATCATCTGTTTAATTCCATCACACACAGAATATTTCTCTGGTTCGTGCTCATCTTCTTCTGCTGTTTCAGGCTGGTTCACCATCCGTCGCTCTATAAGAGCATCCACAAGATTCACCACGAGTGGACGGCTCCGGTGGGAGTGGTGGCGCTCTACGCTCATCCGGTGGAGCATGTGGTAAGATCCGGCTCAGATGTGAACATGTGACCCGTACAGTGGGTGTGTGCTGAAAGCCCTTGATGTGTGTGTGTGCAGTTGTCCAACATGCTGCCGGCTCTGGCGGGTCCGGTTCTGCTCGGCTCGCACGTCGCCACCACCAGCCTCTGGTTCACCGTGGCTCTGCTGGTGACCACCGTCTCTCACTGCGGGTACCACCTACCCCTGCTGCCCTCGCCGGAGTTTCACGACTACCACCATCTCAAGTAAGTCCAGCGCTCACTGTGTCCATCAAATGAAGAGAACATTCGTTTTGCCCAGATTTTATTTGAAATGAAGTCGCTCCCGTTCATTCTTCCATTCGAAGTAAATCAGAGCCTTAAATAATAGGCTAACCTTGAAGGATTAGTTCATTTCAAAATGAAAAAGTCCTGATAATTTACTCTCCTCCTCCACATTTCCACAATTTTAGGAAAATAATTACAATGCAGTTTTTACACAAGTCCGGAATAGAGATCAGTTTTTGATTTATGTCCGGCCGACCGGTTCATCTGTAGTCATAAGCGTACTGCTCGTGTACAGTAAGACGTGTCTGCAGTTTATGGCTGAGAGATAGAGTTGATCTGTGCTGTTGTCCAATCAACTATGCTCTACTTTCAACTCATAGTCAACTTTGTTCTCGTGAGATAACCGGCAAACTCTGGAGAGCCGTTCAACTATCTATAGCCGTCCATGTGAGGATACATACAGTACATGCAAACTGGTGATGCATCATGGGACAGAGTCAAAACTCTCGATGTCCTGCCCATTTTCTGTGATAAGATTAGCCAATTCTGTCCCACCATATCACTCCATATCACAGAAGCAGCTTATTAGTAAATTATCACCTCTTAACCCTTATGCTGCATTAGGGACATTTTTGGTCTTTTGCAGTTTAATTTCTTTGACCATTTTGGCTGTTTTAATGCAAATGGTATGAAATTTGGCAAAATTGTGACTTTTTGGATACATGTAAAAAATGTGATCCCATTTTGCAAAATATGTATAACACACACTGTGTAGATCAAATAGTAACACTCAGCACCATAAAGACCAAAAATGGCCCATTGAAACCCATTAAAACGTTGTTTAAATCTGAGGCTGTCAGTAATACATGAAACATGATTTTTGCACAAACATCCTTTCATTTTGAAGCAAAAGCATTATATTTGCATTATATAGTGTATTCCACCAGATGACGTCACTACATATTTATTCCCTATGGGTGGAAATGCACCTTATTTTAGGCAATAGGCAATGTTTAATAGGTGGCCATTTTTGGTCTCTAACGCGCTAAGTGGGATTTTTTGCAAAGTGGGACTGTGATAATCCAAATCTAAAGTTTTCTCTTTGCATTTAGTTTATTGAAAATAATTGAATTTTTGTGTTTTTTCCTCTTATACAAATCGATGGTTTCGCAAACAAAACTGGTAATTAAAGGGTTAAAATCCTGAAATTGAATACATTTTTGGTAGTTATGATGAGGACTGATGCTGGTTAAAAGATTTAACTTGGTAAAAGTGGAAAATAATAATAATAATATATAATATTTTAGGCAATGTTTAATATGTGGCCATTTTTGGTCCTTAATGCACTCAACGGTGTTAAAAATCTAATGCAGCACAAGGGTTAAGTTTTCATTTGCAAGAGCCTTATGTGCTTTCTTTAAAGGTGCATTGCGCAACATTTCATGTTAAAAATAGCCGTTTTCTAACCCATACATGCTTAAACAATCGCCTGATGGGCTGAATGAGCCCTTCTCTGATCACTGAGATCGCCTCTATAATCCTGTACAGTGAAATATATAAGAGGGATTCGGGCTCGAATCTAAGACTGGCCGTGACGTCACGCTCGCCTGGCGATGTGCCTGTCTTGCAGGTTTGTGTATTCGCCGCCATTCTCCGTATCAGAGAAGACAAACTCGAGCGACACAACTTTAGTCAACTTTCCACAAAAGTAGAAGATGGATTCAAAGGGGCTGTTTAGCCTACACCTGGCCACTTCATGTGTTTTCTGTGATCGGATAGCTATTTGATCGTGAAAAGACCAGGTTGCCCTCCGAAACGCATTCGAGACGGATTTGAATCCGATCGCTCAAATCACTTGAGGACGTGGTCTGGGCCGTATTCCAGACGAAACTGGACAAGTGTAAATGCATCTGGTTGTTGAAAGCAGGCTATAGGTTATGTCATGTTATTTTAGTCATATATGATGCGCCGCATCACCTCAGATGAGCAGCTGAGCGTCTATTTGTCAAGCCAGCGCGCCGCAATCTATCGCAAATCAAAGTGAAAGTAAGTCGCAGACGCTTAACACTACCATCTTCATTAAAAGTAAAGAAATGAAATGATCTTACCAGGGCTGTTGCTTGACCCCTGCCTCTCTTCACCCGCAGGTTTAACCAGTGCTATGGAGTGCTGGGTGTGCTGGACAGGCTTCACGGCACCGACGACAAGTTCCGTAACTCAAAAGCGTACGATCGGCACACGGTCCTGCTGGGTCTGACCCCGCTGAGCCAGAGCATCCCTGAACCCGCCAAGAAAGCGCAGGATTAACCAGAATGCACGTGTCAGACGCGTTCCTGTAGTCTCTGCAAGAGTTTATCAGCAGTGTAATCGATCGGGAGTATGGACACACTCCTGCATTCAGTATCAGGTTCATTCAAACTAAAGCGCTTTACTAATATATGCAGGACTACTGTATCACACTTTACTCTATCTGAAGATGCTCTAGTCCGTGTTTGGGATCAGGGTTCAAATCCTGTCAAATGACCTTATGTCGTGAAGATATGATCAGTCCTTTTTATTGTTTTAATCTGTGTCTGAGTTCTCATATTGTGTCAGAATAGCTCCAACATTTATACAGTTGATGAAAGATTTTAATACTTCTGATCAATGCTATATTTTAATCATGAAAATCTGGTGCTGGTTTCTTGGAACTGAACATGTTCCACACATCTACTCTTTATGAGTTCAGTTTCTGGATGTTCTGACCGAAGATCACTCATTAAAACTAACCTGTATCCCCGGGTGTGTTTGCATCTTTAATAATTCTGATGCTCAGAGTAAAATAATGACACGTGCTGTTCAATTTGTCCTCTGGAAACAGAATATGCACGAAGAAATCCATTGTCATACAGGCTTAAACCAGGGGACTTATTTATAAAATGCTGCATAGAAACCCTCCAGCATTTGATGAAATCTGTAAATCGCAAATGACCCTGAATGGTTTCAGATCTCCGCTTTATAAGCACTGCTGTATTAGTGCTGTTAACATATAAAAGAGCGTCCACGTCAACGTCCAAATGTGTTACTAGAGAACAGCGAGCAGCAAGAAGAGGAATTTCCTGCAGTTCTCCGACTCTCTTCCAGAAGGGAAAACATAGTTTTCACGGCAAACACCGACTTTATAAATCTGAATGTTGGTGTACTGAACCCCAAACTGAATGTCAGAATGGGAAAGAAAGGGGATTTAAGCAATTTTGAGCGTGGCTGGTCTGAGTATTTCACAATCTGCTCAGTTACTGGGATTTTCACACACAACCATTTCTAGGGTTTACAAAGAATGGAGTGAAAAGGGAAAATCATCCAGTATGGGTCAGTCCTGTGGGCCAAAACGCCTTGTTGATGCGAGAGGTCAGAGGAGAATGGGCCGACTGATTCAAGCTGATAGAAGAGCAACTTTGACTGAAATAACCACTCGTTACAACCGAGGTATGCAGCAAAGCCACAACACACACAACCTTGAAGCGGATGGGCTACACCAGCAGAAGACCCCACCGGGTACCACTCATCTCCAATACAGATAGGAGAAAGAGGCGACAATCTGCAAGAGCTCACCAAAACTGGACTGGAAAACTGTTGCCTGGTCTGATGAGTCTCGATTTCAGATGGTAGAGTCCGAATTTGGCGTAAACAGAATGAGAACATGGATCCATCATGCCTTGTTCCCACTGTGCAGGCTGGTGGTGGTGGTGTAATGGTGTGGGGATGTTTTCTTGGCACACTTTAGGCCCCTTAGTGTATGATGTAGATATGATATATAGCTGCTCCATTAAAGATGCTGTATGTAATTTATGCCCTGTAATAATGCATGAATATACCATAACATGTTAAATCCAGCATATTGCAGCCATGGTAACCAGTAAACACATTCTTCCAAGCTCAGGGACAACAGGCATACTAAAATATGGATAAATACTGGAGATGTTCTTGAGAGATGGAGACAACTTTAAGCCAGAAAGACTGAGTCGGCGGGCTGTGCGGGATGATCGTGAGCGCACTTAATCCCACTCATAACATTACATAACATGATTCAAAACATATATATAGTGCAAAACATGCAACTTGTTACATCTTCGGTTCAGAGAGATGGTTGAACGGTCCATAACTCTCTGAATTAAATTGGCCCTGCTCTCCTGAGGAACAAATGAAGATATGGTGTGATGACTGAATAAAGACGGAGGCTAATGGCTTCAATCGTGCCAACACTGAAGATGGAAAAGATGCTTCGGCCATTGCGCCCCAAAACAAAAGAACGCCAAATCAATTCTTCATTTACAAAAACCCGACACACACCATTTAGGCTGGTCTGATCTCTGCTGAAGAATCCAGCACGAACTCCATATTAGTATGGTTAGTTCTGGATTATGCTGGTTAGAGCTGGTATAGTGTTGGCGTAGCTGACGGACCGGCATAATCAAGGTGTTCTCCAGCTAAACTGAGCTGATCCATCCCTTTTTCAGTAGGGATGACAGAATATAATAAAGTCAAACCTCATCTTAGATATGCAGTGGAGGACCTTGAACATGCAGCGAATGCTTCGTCCAGCAGCAGCGATACCAAAATGAGGTGACATCACCGGAAGAAACCAGAACTTTGCTAAAAATCACTGGACTGAGAGGGGATATCCCAACACCTGTGAAAATAAGAAAAGTTCAACAGCTGATTTAAGGTTTTTGATCATTTTAAAGTTTTTTTTTCTGTTTATTAAAAGCAAAATTACAAATCACACTAATAGCAAATCACATCTGCCTATAATTCAGATGAAGTGTTATGATACAAGATTTGGTTCAAGTATTTTACAGCTTCCATTTTTCTTTTCTCAATAAGCCGAATGTATATACGAGTCATGGTAATGAATATTAACAGTTTTAATGGATCACATACAGTTATTTATATGGCTTAATGAATTATTTCGCCTGTTCCCAATAATCCGAGCCGTCGACCTCTGAAGAAGCACAACACCCGTCATGAACTCGCACAATGGAAAAGACCGTTTAGTGGGATAAAAGCCTTTTAATTAGATCAGTGATCACAAGATTTTTCTCATCAGGATCTGACCACAGCTACTTCGAATGGAGACGCCCGCCGAGGGAAACGGGCAACTGCTCAATGTTTGCCGAGAGTTAAAATGAAATAAAATTTAAATCCAAATATTACCAGAGAGAATGTGACCGAAAACATTTCAGCAAACAAATGTATAGATGTTGATATGGCAGCCAAATCCCGTAAATTAGATTGGAATATTGCTTATGATCCAAATGTTTTCAGGTAATCGTCATAATCAAAGGTTTGCCTTTCTTCACATGATTCCAGTTGAAACCCTGAGGTCAGTTTCCCTTTACTCAGACCGACATGCTGTTTGTATGAAGAAAAGCTAGAAGTGATACTAAAACATACCCATAATAACTCAAAACTCATTAGGGCGAGCATAAAAAAGGTGAACACGTAAGGCAAATATATCTCTATAAACAATAAATGACACATACAGCCAAGGTGGTGTAATGTCTCTTAATTTCTTGAATTCATATGTACACTAGGACCAACACTCTGGTAATGACTCCCGCGGGCAGGAGATGGTGCGAGTCTGCCGGTGAACGAGCATCTGTCCGCGACGAGCTCGGCTTCACGTCTGACGAGCCGTCGTCTTCTGTAACAGGCCGTGACACTTGGAAGCAAGCGAGAGGATTTGGCAGGCGGGACGTTAGTGTCACAGTGATGGCCAAGCTTACGGTACGCTAAAAGTTATTAGCTATAGAGTTTAGCGTCCACCCCCGAAAAAAAAAACAAAAAAAAAAACGGGTAACATAAAATCATCTCGCTCAAACAACTGCAGATCTATAGTATTTGCATTATTTTCTGTGTTACGGGTTTGCCTCATCCAGTACCTAGTCTAGTCAAGAGCAATCTTATCATCGTTCAACACAATCTCTAACAAGGAAAGAAAAAAAAAAGATCATGGTGGAATCACGCGTCGTTCAGCCAAATAAAACAGCGAGTCCACTGAGGATTATGAAGCAGAAAGATTCAACTAAAGCCTTTGTGTACCCCAATGACACAACAGGAATAAAACTTCAGAGTCTTTAATAAAACGAAGAATGGAAGTATTTCTCATGCCCTCTGCTGTCCGTTTCTGACGCACAATGCTGTGAACGAGGGGAAGATGGAAGAGCCGAGATTGGACAATCGTGAGCCGTTCGTTGGAGAGCCGTTGTGTCATGCTTGTGTTCGGGCGGTCGGACCCGCGGCCCATGAGACGCTCACTTCGGGGGCTTGCCGTCTGAGGCGGTTCGCTGGCTCGGGGTGTTGGCATCATCTCTGGTGGGAGGGGCGGAGCCTGAAGCAGCATCTCTGGTGGGAGGAGCTCCAGTCAGGGGGGCGGAGCCTGAAGTGACCTGGTTCTGGGAGCGGTTGGACTGCTGGGAAGGGTGGCGGCGACGGCCATCTCCGCTGGAAGCGTGTCTCTTACGCCCGCCTTCCTCCATGGGCGGCTGAAGGCAAGAAATGACACATGGTTTGGGACTTGAGCATAACCTTTCAACTCCTGAAACTGAAGCATCTCTCAGGCCCTGTTTACAGCTGGTGTTAAGATGGGGTTTGGTCGATCGGATTACACTCTAGGGCTGCAACGATATATCGCGCCACTATTCATCGCAGTACAAAAAATATATATCATGGTAAGGGAAAATCTGTATTGTGTGTAGTTCAACTAAAATCTCAGTAAGAAGTTTCACGCGTTCAGTCACTAAAGACTAGGGATGGGTATCGTTAAGGTTTTATCGGTATTACTACTCTTACCGATACCGCTTATCGATCCGGTACTTTAACGGTATTCTTATCGGTTCTTTTCGGTGTTTTTTTAAAAAAATTTTTTAAGAATTAATAACATAATTAAACTTTATATTTTGAAATGTAAAATAGAAAAAGCAAAACAAAGGAAAATATCTTTTTGTTATGCAGCAGTGTGCAGGCTTTTTTTGTTTTATATACAAAAAGGACACGAGAATATAACAAGTACAAACACAAGAATACAATTAATCAAAGATACAACTTTTATACAAAGTGCTTTAATTTCAGGAAGGTGTAACATATCTTTTCAGGTAATTGTTTCTGTCTGAAAAGAAACCTAATTTAGCAATCAAATATAAAATAGCACTGTATAGTTTATCATAGATAGAATAAGGCTTATTAAATCTAAAGTTACTCATTCAAGAGCTGTGAGTGATTTTCTCTGCCTTTTGTTGTTTGATTTGCATTAATGGCTGAATCGTCAGCAGGTTTAGGCTATTAGACTGCTGCCCCTTTAAGACCGAGTGCAGATCTAATGGGGACTGAAGCACCATCATTTTCTCCCTATTATTTACATCCATTTAAGACATAATTGTGTTTAAGTGAATAAACTGTGTTTAAGTGAATCTCAGAGCTGGTCATTTTGACATTTTTATGTATATTTGATAGTTAAGGACACACGAAGCCCAAGTATAGGGTACTTTTCTTGTCTCGTTGCAGTCTGTTTCGGAGCGCGCACCGCCTTGTGAACAGCGTCTCTTGCGCAGGTTTGTGTTTTTAAAAGCCATTTTCTTGATCTCGCAACAGTAGAAGACAGCATTTTGCAACAATCGCCGATCGTGCTGATTCTGACGGTACGTTTGGGTTTTAGGAAGAACTGACAGCGCTCCACAGTGCTGTGAAGTAGGCTAAAGGACGTTAAGCTGGACAGATCGATCGTTTTTTAACAGTTTTATCTCAAATATCTTCTTTTTATAATCTTTGGAAGCCGAAATACAAAATATATTAGAATAATATCCCACATCTAAAGTGTAACCATGTTGAATGTTTACATCGTCACTCATTAAGCAGGGCTGTCGTGTTGCGCGTGCTGTGGCTTTGCGTGAGAGATCGCTCTCTCTCTCTCTCTCTCTCTCTCTTCTGAACTGCGAATTGCAAATTTGCATCACTGACAAATGGTTTAATTAAAATATAGTTTATATACAGAAATGGCTGGCGATATAAACATGTTCAAGATAACGTCTTTATAGGAATAATAAATGGTAGCCCAACTTGCGTGTATTTACTTAATTTCTCCAGTACCGAGAGCAGAACCGATAACGTCCGAGCTTATCGATACAGCGGTCTTTCAAAATTCAGTACCGGGGCCCGTTTAATACCGGGTTTCGGTACCCATCCCTACTAAAGACCATCTTCTCTGACCAAACACATTTATGTGGCCAGGTGTTGGTAAATCCGTTTGATAAACCGGATAGCTATCTGATCTGAGAGAACAGCCCCATAGACCCCTGAAGAAATCAGGACAGAAGTGGACAAGAGACGGATTAAAACAGCAGCTGTAAACAGGACACGTGACGTCAACCAAGAAGGAAAACAGTAGGACAAAGTGACTTCTAACATGAAAAAATCCCAAACTTTTTCATTTAGTAAAAATGCAATTAATGTATATTATTAAATGAACCACGTTGTTTCCATGCTTGAAAAAGACAGTGTGAGACTTACGTCCACTCTGAAGTCTTCTAGACGCTTGAACTTGCTTAAATGGACCTGCAGCTTGGGGTCGATCTCCATGTTCTTTGTTTTCGAGTATTTAAGAAAAGCCCAAAACTTCTCGAGTCCATACAGCTGGCCTGAGGGTGTATGAAGAGGAAATGAACAAGAGCTCCACACACACACACACACACACACACACACACACAAATGCATCTGTTGTCTGCAAAGACTAACCTGCTTCATAGTCTTTAATGGTCTCTTCTTGGAAATCTTTAAATATGTCCGGCCTGAACTTCCTCTCGAGTCCATAGCTATAAAACCTGAAGAGACACTCCAGACCGTACCTGAGGAACCAACACCGCGCCGTCAACTCAGAACATCACCACGTTAAACTAAAGATCACATTGGTAATGCAGTCCAACGCCATCCTGACAACACTGAATTCTGAACGTTTAATTATCAGCTTTTAATAACAAATGAAAAATAGAGTTTTGTTCATCATATGCTCCATGTAAACAGGAGGGCTCGTCAACAGAAGGATTTTACATTTGGATTAATCGCAAACTTGAGAAATTAAGTTCATTCGTTCATTCTGTCATCATTTGCTATATCCAGCACAGTAAACTATCAGATTGAAGGGTGATTCCCACAAAACTCATTTCTTCAAGCCTTGATCTGACGGCATATACAGCACACAGACCCATTCAGAACTACTAAACGCAGCAACATGACGAATCCAAACATTATCCTGAATGTGTGGAAATAACGTGAAGATACTGAAATGTGTCTCTTTATAAATACAACGTGCGATCAGTGTGTCGAGAACACACACACTGATTTGCACATGAATATAACGCTCACTCGTGCTACTATACGACTCCTGTACGTCACCGCAATCTTTACCAAACTGACTTTACTAGCGAGACGCCGTGCGCTATCCAGCAGAGAAACGCAGTGCGCATCATCTGACCGGCTCCGCTCAGGCTGTGTTTCTCAGCGCGACGCGTCAGAGACAATCACAGAATATCACAGAGCTCGTGTTTTAAAGCTAAACTGACACTGGTATGAATAATGAATTATTATATGAATGAAACGAATAATTCGCTGAAATCTATTTTCTCTGATGTAATCAGCCTGGTTTTCTTTATATTAGCACGGTCATGGACTGATTGATTGAATTCTAGATAGTTAAACTGAAAACTTTTCTAAGAGTTTAGCGGCTTAATATGGGGTTAAAGGGTTCTTGCACACTGAGTCGGAAATTTTCATACGGGTTTGTGTTCGTCCTCCTAAAAATATGTGGGAAATATTGGGTCCATCCCATCCTGAGACAGTGTGGAGAGGGAGAGCTCGCTGCGGGATTATCCCGGTGATTCAAACACTTCAGACTTCAGTAGATCACAATGTAAATGACATTAATGATGCGATTTTGCATGCTTCAGTTACTTATTTGCGTTAAATAATTGCATAAATCGCATGCCTTAACATTGACCACCCTAAAACAGAGATGTTGATTTAGCGGAGAATTGAAATGCCCCAAAAAAACAGGTAATTGTGCCTGTAATTCTCTCCAAACACCAACGTTTCATTCCTGATGACCCTGGGGTGACGCTGAACCCCGCTCTCCAGTAGAAACTCCTGTTCAGAGAAGAAGCATCAAGCATTATTTTCATACCTGTATCCTTCCTTCCCATCCTCCACCACCAGCTGTCGGAATTCCTCGTACATCTTCCTGTTGAAGTGATCCCGCAAGAAGAAGGACCAGAAGCGGAAGAGCGTGTTCATCTCCTGAGACTGGCCGATGCCCAGACGCTTGCGCTCTGCAGGACGACAGGTCAGAACCAGTCACACAATTTATAATCGCCATCACAGAGGCCATCGGTACGCACTTTTACATTACTCTGCGTGTTTAAGTGGTGTGTTCAGAGCATGTTATGTTGTGAGAGGCGAATCACGATAACTTCAGAGAACAGGCACAACAGGAACTGCCAGGAAGTGTGCTCTGAAATAAAGTCTCTCTCCCTTCAGAAAAACTGATGCGGTCCTGTCAGGCGTTATACTGCGCTAGTACACACTCTTCAATTGAGCACGGTGTATCGCATCACTAAATATAAAGCGCAAAGAGACTACAAGCATGAAATGTCATTATGTTGTAAATTAGTAAATCACAAAATAAAGTAAAATTGCAATAAATCTCGTTATCGCTGAGGAGGATTAGCATGCAGGTCCGATGTTCATTATTCATCTCAGCTCGTGTATCACCATGGTAACTTGTTTCTATAACCTCAAACCCCCACTTTATTTTCACTTTGGGTTATTTTGTATCTATATTTTTTAAATGACAGAAGTTGCTCATATCAACATTGTATTAAACACAAGTTTGGGCTTGCATTGTAAGAGCTTAACCTCATAGGCCTACTGTTTATCAGTATTAGTCATATTCTTACAGTTTATGTGTATGTTAAAGAAAGGGGAACAGTAATAGTGTGAGTCAATTATGGAGAAAACAAATTTATTATAATAGGCCGATATATAAATACAGTAGTCAACATTTGAAGTGGATCAAAACCTTTCATCCAAGTTACACATGAATCTTGAACAATACCCGTCCTCGTCTCAGGACATCTTTGTAGAACTGTTGATGCGCTTCAAATGTTGACTATTGTATATGGGTCAGGGCTTGATGAGCAGGGGGGATGTGGGACCAAACGAGTTGAGAACCACAGCCATTGAAAACCTCACTCACAGTCAACTCTAATAATCTTAATACTCGCAGCTGCAATGTGAAGGGAATAGCGGACACTAGTGAAGTGTGATGACCCTGCGTGACCCACCGTTGAGGCAGCGCCGCCGGTACTTGTGGTAGACGTGCTGCGTGAAGCCGTTCTCCTTCAGGAGCTCGTGCGACGGGTGCTGGAACTTGGGCAGAGACTGAGGCGTGCAGCCGTAGTTGCCCATCGCTGCGGTGCCCTCCGACGGGCTCGCGGTCGAGCTGCACACAAGAGGAGGCAGATTTACACACAGCACTTTACTGACACAACAGGACAATAGAGCTGGTAAGTCCCGCCCATCCGTAAAACTCCAAGTGGACCTCTAGGTTGAAAAAGCGTCAATGCAAGTGAATGAGAGAAAATAATTATTTTCTGATCTCGTTTGAATTGTGCCATGAATGTAACATATGTTGTCTGAATTTTTTATACAATTTCTCATGTAACGAGTTTGACAGTTACTCTATTGTATGATTCTTTGGCTAGCAGTTGTGGAATAGACATAACAAGAAAGACTACACGTCTCCACAAATCACGGTGCGATAATCTAAGGAATTAGATTGAGATGCCTGTGTGTTTTGTACCCAAATGTCACCATTCAAACAATGGTTTGTTTAGCGGGATCCGTGTGCTAGTGGTGGTGACGTATATCAAACGCGTCGAAAGCAGCGAAGAGTTGTAGTCCAGAAAGTGCTCACACCAAGTCTAACCGTATGAAAATTCTACCTCCTAAATTGTAGCATTATTTAAATAAAAAATTAAAATATAAAAATAAAAATTCATAAAAAAATTCACAGACAACATATGTTATTCATTGCAAAATTCAAACGGGATCAGAAAATAATTATTTTCTCTCATTCACTTGCATTGACAATTTTTTAACCTAGAGGTCCAGCGGGGTTAGCGGAAGGGGCGGGACTTACCAGCTCTATAGTGCAACACAATCAAGTTAGTTCAGTGATGTAAAAAAGTTATTTAGTTTTTATGAAGAAAACTCTGGAGAAAACAGTGATGTCATCGTTCAGCTCTCATATAATGCCGTCAATGCAGGAGATCAATAATATTGAATTAAATGTCCCCAAATTAGCAAGCCAAAGGCGACAGAAACCAGAAGTCCATCAGTAACAGCACGGAGGAAAACTCTCATGAGAAACCAGACTCAGTCGCTCAGTGTGTGTGTGATTCAGGCAGCATTGCAGGTCAGATGGGATCAGAACATTCAATAGAAGACAACAGGAGATCTCTGAAACACACACACACACTCTCACCTGACGGAGGCGGTGCGCGAGCGGTGCTCTCGCGAGTCCATCACCCAGCCCACGTGACACTCCATGGGCGGGTTGGAGCTGTGTCGCGTCTTCCTCTTGCGAGGGGTCTGGAAGAGGACAGAAGCGGGAGTGAGACTCGGGCATTCAGAGTTACAGTCTCCTGATCATCTACTCTCCTCCGAGATGTTCATGTCTGTCTGTCTCCAGTGGAAATGAAGGTTTGTGAGGAACACACTCCAGGATGTTTCTCCATATAGTGTCTTCAATGGGGTCCAACGGGTCGAAGGTCAGATGTGAGTTTCAAAGTCTCGACACGATCCAGCCGAGGAATAAGAGTCTGATCTAGACAAACCAGCGACATTTACAACAAAACACACATTTATACACTTTAACCACTAATGCTGGTCTTGCTCGAGCTGTGATGCGACACACATTACGAGATCAGGGTGAAAGGTCAAGACCAGCATTAGTGGTTAAAGTATATAAATGTGTATTTTGTTGTAAATGACTCTTCCTCGGCTGGATCGTGTCGAGACTTTGAAACTCGCATCTGACCTTCGACCCGCTGGACCCCATTTAAGACACTATATGGAGAAACATCCTGGAGTGTGTTCCTCACAAACCTTCATTTCTTCTCGACTGGAGACAGACAGACATGAACATCTCGGAGGAGAGTAGATGATCAGGAAGTGGTGATTCTGCACTCCTCTGCGCAGGACCGGGCTCACACACACCTTGGCATCGAGCGGCCGGCCGTCCTTCACCACGGGGTAGAAGCGTGGCGTCTGCGTGGGGTCCTTCAGGCGGGGGGTGCGGGGGGTCCGGGGCGTTCGGGCACTGCGGTAGTTGGGCGAGTCAGGCACTGTCGTCGGGAGAGAGCGAGCGATGGCCGACGGCTCCGGGGCGCCGAACAGCTTGTTGGCCAAGGCCTCCGTGGGGACTACAGGAGAACACACTCCAGGTTAAACACACAGCCAAGTTGTATTGTATTGAGAACGAGTTTAAGAGAAGAAATATATGATTTCCCGATGCATCCTAATTCTCTCATCTACAGTCAGAACTGATCAAATGATCCAGTTATTCCCAGCGTATGAGCGATGGCACTGTGTGCTCGAGACCGCCTGAACCTGCGTAAGGTTTCAGGGTCGAAGCGACTGTGTTGAGATCTGTGAGATTTCCCTTATAAAAGCTTTGAGCTTCCAGGATAACACATGATAAATAAATGATAAAGACGAATCATGTGGTCTGTTGGCCATTACAAACTCTTTAGAGCCGGTGGAGACCTGTTGAAGACCTGCGAGGCTAATGTTGTAAAACATGTGTAGGCTAACTGTTAAAATAAATGTTAGTAATATACATATGTACTAAGGATGCACGATATATCTGACACCATATCGGTATCGCCCAATATATGTTAATTTTTAATATAATAAAATAATGTATTGTTTCCTTCATCTGTGCACTGTTGTGAAGGCTTTAAATGGCTTGAAATCACTTCAAAAAAGGAAAATACAGTTCAGATCAACATGTGCGGCGGCAGGCTGTCGTATCGGCTACTTAACATGATCATCGTTATAATTGTGTGTTTGGGACATGGCTTTTAATGGAGAGACTTGTTTATGTAACCAGGCTCTCAAAAATTATATAAAAGTTAGTTCTGGGCAACGATTAATCGCATACAAAATAAAAGTTTGTTTAAATATATACACACACACACACACATAGGCATTTTTATATTTAAGCAATATTTGCATATAATGTATATACATTTAAACACAATTTGTTCTATATAAATATGAATATTTTATATATAAATAGCAAGTTTTTTTAAATATATAAATGTATTTATAATATACAAAATAATTAGACACACACAGTGTAAACACAATCTTATTTTGGATGCGATTAATCATTGTCCAGCAAATTTAGATTTATCGGCCAATATTTTGGTTTTCAGCTTCCAAATATAAATAATTATGGGTTATTATTATTAAGGCCAAAATGTTCATATTAGAGCATCTCGAGTATGCACATATTGTTCGATGCGGATGTCAAGTTTATAATGTTATGTGTCAATTTACAACCGGTTAGACAGCCCATAAATTACACGTTATTTGAAGGCTTTTGCAATACATGTAACAGACGTAACTGTTAGAAACGTTGGGACGTAAACGAATGAACACTTGTTTTAACCCGTGCCACACCAGGAGGAGTGGCGGTGCGGGGATGAACTCACTCTGCTGGGGTCGGGGCGGGCCCGGGGGAACCTCCTGGTTGGGGTCGATGGGCGGCTCAGGGGTCAGGCACTCGAACTCCTCTCTGCTGATCAGGTGCACCTTCTTGAAGTTCTCCACTTCTTGCTGTTGCGGAAAGACACAGAGAGTTACAAAAACCAGAACACACACAGTCATCCTCACTCCACATAATCCAGCGGGAGAAGCTAAACATTAATGCTACTTCCTGACATCAGCAACACATACCTGTGCACCGAAGAGAGCCATGACCCCCCGGGCTGCTAGTCAAACAGCAGTAAAGTGAGCACGCTAACGCTATCTGGCTTTTCTAGCGGCTCTGCTGGCCTTACAGGACTCGCACGTGAGCGGCACAAAGAGCACAGCACAAAAGACCACAACAAACACTCGGGTGGAGGACCATTCTGTCCGGCCAGGTCCAGAAACACTGCGCTACAGCACACACTCTCACACACACACACGAGAAGAAAAGCAGCACACGAGAATGGACACACACCCAGAATATGACAGAATTAAACTCATCTCATGACAGCCGGCACAATGAACAACACACACCACCTCAGATCAGCTGTCCACGCTCATAACACAGCAGGGCACACGTCACATGACCCTTCACTACTGATCCACTTTAAAGTCCCTCTGTGGTGTAAATCCAGTGTTTAATGTTGTTTATGTGTGTGTGTGCTGTGTTTAATCCGCTTTAACACACACCGTGTGCAAGTTGATAAGTGGACGGCATTGCTGAGTATTTTGAACCAAAGACAGTCTCAAACACACGCTTTGAAATCGCTGGTGTTTCTGACGTCACAAACCACCTTGTAACCAATCAGATCAACGGGTGATCGTCTACCAGTGGATCTCTGAGTGAGGGAAAGAGAACCATGATATTCATAGAACCGCACATACTAAATGAGGCGAGGGTGTCGAGTTACATTTAAGATATTTTAAGGAAAAAACGTTTAAATGTCATTTTAGTGATCAAAGATGAGGGATACAATTTATTGCCTAAGATATTCCAATGTTTTGAATGAAAACACTGAAGGATCTCAATGCAATTTTAACCCTTGTGCATCAATTAAAAAAAGTTACACATAGGTAAGAGGAGGACAAAAATGTCCATATCAAAAAACTGTCATAAAAATGTGACGCTTTGGAGCACAGACTTAAGTTTGGAATCATTTTAAAGAAGACCCTTTGCAGATTATTGCTGAAGTAAAAAAAAAATAATAATAAGTAAATCCAAAAAAAAGTTATATAGGTATAGGTTTGAGACTTATTTATAAAAAATATTTTTATATAAAATATATATTTTCTAAATCAGGTTGAACTCAAAACTGCAATAAAATCAAAGCCATAAATCTAAATAGGTTGTGTTCCAAATTTGAGGATGATATCTCAAAAAAATGAGCTTTCGGTAACAGTTTGTTTGGGCGTAGTAACATATTTTCCCCATTGGGTGGCAGCAAAACCCCACTGGAGCTCACAGTGATTGGATTTGAATTTGCAGTTTTTCTCTCTCAGTATTACAAACACACACATGCACGCACACACACACATATTTTTTTATAACACGCATACTAACCACACTCTGACATCCATACCAACACACCCACACAAATATTGTTGCATAATTTATCCCGTTGGCTCTATAATATGCCGAAGCAGAAAACAGGAATAAAGCGATATTTGTTTTATAGACCAAACTTAAAAAAAAGGCACCATCTGATAAAAAAATAGTAAAAAATAAAATTTTGAAGCCTTGCCATCAGAATGAAAGCCTCTTAACAAAGATTGCATAATTTTATAGTTAACTGAACCGGGGATTGAAAATGGCAGTTTTAATGGGTTTTAATGGGGACATTTTTGTCCAAAAGGTGCTGAGAGGGAGTATTTTTTGTACCTAATGCAAAAAATATTTTTTTTTTTAGAAAATTACAGTGAAATAGTAAAATTCCAATAAAAATACACACCTGTGCCAAGTTTTTTGCAGTTAGCTTGCCTTTAACACAGACAAAGTGATCAAAAAAACAAAACTGAAAAGGACAAAAATGTCCATAAGGATGCACAAGGGTTAAAAACTTTCTTTTTATGTGTTTAAATAGTCTTGAACTTGCAGCTTTTCTTCTGATGACGAGGGCGGGGCTATAACCTGTCACTCACATGAGATCAGCCAATAGCAAACCACAACCATCCAATCAATTCCCCACAGACATATTTAAGCCCCACCCACATGTGTTTCTGCTCCAGAAGCGTTTCACTCGATATACGACACAATAGAGGAGAAAAGACCAGCGAGTCTCCCCTTTAATGAGGAGTTAAGCGCACTTGAGTGGGATGTTATCCTGCTTTTCTCTCTATTCCTGATTCTGATGATTTGGAAATGCTCAAACATGCCAAAACACACACACAAAAAAAACAAAGTCAAGTGAGCCGAAATGATTTGAAAGGCTCTTGTGCATTTCTCCCTCGGGGATAAGCGCTCACCTTGATCGTGGCGTACTCCGGCTCGTACGTGTCGTCCCAGAGGTCCTGCTCGTAGTAGTACAGGCCGTCGTTGATGACCTTCACCAGCTCGCTGCTCAGCTTGGACCTGGAGGTGTGGTTCCCCGTGCGGTCTCCTCCCGGGTGCTTGCGCAGGTACGGCGGCGTCTGAGTCACGATCAGGATCTTGTTGACGTCTCGATCGTCGATTTCACAGTCCGAATCCTCGTCCGACCAGTCGGTGAAAGTGTTGCGCCGGCCGTCGATCTGCTCCATCTCCTCGTCGAACATGAAGTCCAGCTCCTCGGGCTCGTCCGGCTCCTCGCCTGTCGCCGGGCCGGTCTGAGCGGGCGAACGCACCGCATCCGCTTTCTGCAAAACATGATGATGATGATGAGGCAGGCACCGACACAGAGCACGAGAGGGTGTGTCACACACACTGAGTGGCAGTATTTGTTTTCAGTGTGAATGCTACGAAACACAAAACTCATCTACACCAGGAGAGAGGTGAGATTGAACTAGATTTGACAAGAAATCTGAGGTATATTTTTACGGACTGACGAAAGCTACAGAACAGAAGCAAACGGATCGCTGTGATGCACAGAAACCACTGGATACAAGCATTTGTGTCAGGGGTAATATCGTACCTTATTTTGTATTGAAAACTCAATTAAATATTTACCATCGTATATTCTGCATAATTGGATGTTATTAAATAAACACTGACATAAAAAACACACAAGTTTTATGGCTGGCCGATATGATGATAGACACTACACTGATATGAGTGATCACATGGACTTAGGCCTAATATAGAGTGCCGAAGTGATGACGTCACTTTGTAGGACAACTCGGAAGCTAGCGGCGCATGGGTTCCCTCGGCCGAAACGCAATGCATTTTCCCCATAGACTTTTGGAAAATCACAAAAAAAGGTTGTGACCCTTACACGTTTTGACTAGCAAGATAATCTTTACAAGTTAATCCAAAAGTTATACATTTTGAAGCCTATAAAGATTTTAAAAAACACAATCAGACACAATAAAGTTTAAAAAACCATAAGCAGGTTATAACTGTGTGTTCTATGTCATCGATCAAAACGTGAAAATATTTAGAGGCTTTGTTCACCACAGACCTTATTTCAGGCGATTTAGCAAAAACCCATTCAAAAATCCCATAGACTTTAGAGCGAGGGAACCGTAATGCTAAAATGCTAACTCGCTTCCGCGTTTTGGCCTACAGGGTGACGTCGTAACTTCAGCTCTCTATTGTATTTATATAAAGCATTCACAGGCTAATTTGCTTTATTTCCCCGTTTGGTGAAATCAGGCTCATAAACACGATTCCTGCCGCATGTCAGTATCCACTGGATCACTGGATCTGCGTGAGTTGTAAGGATCACTATATCGAGTCCAAGCTTTAGTTTAAACTGATAATCGTTTGTTTTACTTATACAGTTTCTCCTGGTAAATCCAGTCCCTCAGCCGCTCTTCTGCCGCTCGGCCCGGCCTAGGGAGTCTGTTCCCAGGGGAAACTGACGCCAATTCATTCCCTCGATTAAACTCAAATATATCTGTATTATGTCAGGGTTTTGCATCAACTCAACGTGCGGAAGAGTTGTTGCTGAAAATAAATCAAATTTCTGATTTTGATTGAGGTGGGACAAATGACCCAGACGCGTTTAGGACGGCCAAAAACAACCAACTCCTTGATTCTGAGGTGTTGATCCCAACAGTTGTGTCACTTTCACAAGATGTAATGTAACTATGGCGTCCCAAATGTCTCAAATAATCTAACTATCAAAAAAAAAAAAGAATCAAACAACAAGTGAGGAATCGATTCCAGAACCAGGAATCAGACTCGATTCTTTAAGGAGGAGACTTCAGAATTAATATCTCCTGATCATCTACTCTCCTCCACTTCATCCGAGATGTTCATGTCTGTCTGTCTTCAGTGGAAATGAAGGTTTGTGAGGAACACACTCCAGGATTTTTCTCCATACAGTGTCTTCAATGGGGTCCAACGGGTCGAAGGTCAGATGTGAGTTTCAGCCGAGGAATAAGAGTCTGATCGAGACAAACCAGCGACATTTACAACAAAACACACATTTATATACTTTAACCACTAATGCTGGTCTTGCTCGAGCTGTGATGCGACACACATTACGAGATCAGGGTGAAAAGAGAAGAAACATCCTGGAGTGTGTTCCTCACAAACCATTTCCACTGAAGACAGACAGACATGAACATCTCGGATGAGGTGCGGGACAGTAAATGATCAGGAAATGTTGATTCTGAAGTGAACTCCTCTTTGAAACCCTGCTCTTCCTACCTTGGGTCGGGCGGGCGAAGGCCTCGGCCTCTTCTTGACCTCGATCCATGACTCCGAGTCCAGATCCGGCAGGCTGGCGGACAGGCCCTTGGGCATCAGCTTCAGGTTGCTCACGTCATCAGTCTTGTGGTGCTGCGGTGTGGAGGATCTCGGGGAGCCTGTGGGGTCAAGCGCTCGGTCAGGTGTCAGCGCATCACAGTACGACATCGCTGAGGAATCAACTAGCTCATCACGACTGATTCCCCAAACCATGCGGTCACAAGTTAATTGTTCAACCGTATTGGTTAATGACGTCACGCAGGTGTTGGAGTAATAACTACTGTCGTTAATGAATCTGTTAATGATCAAATTAATGTGAGATGTTTCGCTAATAAATCACGATCATGGCATCTGAGGAATATCATTTTTCTCAGTTATTTTACTCTATTTCCAGATTCACTCATGGACTCGTTCACACACACACACACGCGCACTCTTCACAAAGTACACTTTAAATCTCTTAAACTCAAAGTCTTAAATGACATCTGTGTGTGTGTGTGTGTGTGTGTGTGTGTGTGTGTGTGTGCTAAATGAAAGACACAGGTTGCACTGAATGTCAGCTTGCTTATTGTGCTCAAGGTCAGGATTTATTGAGTCACATGTCATGAACACTAGAAACTCTTCTAACACAGCTGGAGATCTGTCGCTCACACACACACCTCTGAGATGCTGTCTGCGAATGTTCGTTAGAAAGATTGTTTCGGGAAACACAGATTCGTTGAACTGATGATACTCGACTGTACTCGCGATCACAGTTGGCTAACGATGCTGTGGGGAAACACAGCCCAGAACGGCCCTTCGCATCGAGTCAGCGCTCACCTGTGTGTTTGTCCACAACGGTCCTGGGAACAAACTCGGGGCAGTTGATGAACTGGGAGAAGTCCGTCTGCGACTGGTCGGGCAAGGCGAGGCCCGGCAGGGGCCATTTCTCCGGCTCCTCCTTGCAGCGGATTTTCATATCCGTGATATCCACTATTTTACTGTCCTTCAGCGCCTGAGAGAGAGAACACACCTCATCAGTTACAGACTCGATCAATCATACAGCCGTGTGTGTGTGAGAGAGACACACCTCCAGTATGAGGCTGACGTCGGTGGTGAGCGCCTGCACACGGTGGAAGCTGGCGATCAGAGACACCGGAAGGAAACCCTCCTCATCCATCTTCCTGCGCAGGAAGAAGTCCCTCTCCAGGTTGTCACTGCTGAAGTAGTATTCGCTGCGGAAACAAACACCAGTGAGAAACACACACACACACACCCGTGCGAAGCAGAACACACTGCTCCCGAAGTGCTGAACGTGCTGGTCAGAACAGTGTCAAAACATGCATTGAAAACTAATAAAACATCTACAGTTGTTTTGTAAAAGTAAAGGCGTAATCTATTAAACACTTTAAAAAGTGATCTAATGCCACTGAATCTGAAGAGCCTCTATAATGCGTGTTACTTTATTAAATTGTAGGGTCTGTTTAGTCAGAGCGATGAGAGACTTAACTGTTTTATTATTATTATTATATAAATGTGTTGTCATATCTGTAAACATTTCTAAAATTTTATCCGGTATCAAATAAAATCATATCTAGACATGGGTTTAGGGGTCACGAGATCATAGCGATGAACCATTGAAATGCTTCGAAACCGCGATGAAGCCTCGTTTACTGAAATCAACTGACTGGTTTCGAAGCTTAAAGCATCGATTACTTAAAGGAGTAGATCACTTTTAAAAAAAAACTTTTGCTGATAATTTACTCACCTTCGTGTCATCCAAGATGTCCATGTCTTTCTTTCTTCAGTCGAAAAGAAATGAAGGTTTTTGATGAAAACATTCCAGGATTTTCTCCATATAATGGACTTCAATGGGGTCCAAACGGTTCAAGGTCCAAAAGACAGTTTCAGTGCAAACTGTTCAAAGGGCTTTAAACGACACCAGACGATGAATAAGGGTCTTATTAAGCAAAACGAGGACTCGAAGGACTCAAAGGGTCCTTGATAAGACCCTTATTCATCGTCTGGAATCGCCCTTTGAACAGTTTGCACTGAAACTGACCTTGAACCTTTCAGTTCCCATTGAAGTCCATTATAAGGAGAAAAATCCTGGAATGTTTTCATCAAAAACCTTAATTTCTTTTCGACTGAAGAAAGAAAGACATGGACATCTTGGATGACACGAAGGTGAGTAAATTATCAGCAAAAGTTTTTTTTTTTAAAGTGAACTACTCCTTTAAGTACCATCACTACATGAACTAATCACTAAATCATAATTCCTGTGGATGTGTTCGTTCATGTGGTTTCTCACAGCTCAACTGATGCAGGATCAGCTCATAAAGACGAGTGCGGGTCACAAACATTAAGCCAGTCGTTCAAAAACGCTGATTCGTCCACTAACGGAACGAGTCGAGAATGTTTCGCTCATCCAACTTTTTAAAAAGCAATAATTCAAATTAAATAGTTTTTAAATAAACAACATGATGATTCTCAATTTATCCAGAGTCGTGCAGCTCGATTACAAATGATTCGGTTGCATCCCTAATTACTAGTGCTGGGCAACGATTAATCGCATCCAAAAAGTTTGTGTTTACATCATATATGTGTGTGTGTACTGTGTATAATATACACGCATATATATTTAAGAAAAATGTGTTATTTATATCTAAAATATTTTAATATAATATAAATTATGTATAAATATATACATGCAAATATCTCTTAAACAGTTAGATGCATGAGTGTATTTACATATACAAAATAATTCCTAAACACAGTACACGCATGTATAATGTAAAACTTTGGATGTGATTAACACATGTCGAGTTAGCCTGCCACGGTATATGTTCTGAATGCGGTTGGCTCTCTGACACTGCTTTGGTCACATGCATGAACGCAGATGCACATGTGTGTGTGTCGGGGCCGTGTTACTCACATCTGCCTCTTGATGTAGTCCTTGAGCAGGTCGTGGTCCACAGTGTACAGGTCGTTACTGCTCATGTTGTCGTAATAGTAAGTCACTGTGCTGTTGAACTTCTGACCACAGGCTCCATCCTTGCCATCAAAGCCTTTATAGCCATAGTAGTAGTCATAATGACCTGAGGAAACAAGCAGACACGGGCGATTAAAGAGCCCTCGTTATGCTTTGAGAAATGACCCCCATGTGGTGTGTGTGATTGTGGAAGGTCTGTAGTCTCAGAGATCGAACTGCAGATTAATGGAGTCATCGTCTCAGAGAAAGAAGCGCTTCTTCTGAACTCCCTGAAACGAGTCGCCGGTAATTCAGTCTCACTTCCTGATGAACCTGCGTAGGTTTGTGACTAATTTACATAATACCAGTTTATGGTCTTGATTGGCTGAGCAGCTTCTCTTAGCCCCGCCCTCAAACACTAGAGTGAATCTGAGACTGGAAGAGTTGGGCTTGTGTTGTTCGTGTCGAGAAGACGCTGTTTTCTGAGATTGAGACGGTAAAACTCACGCCATCGTTACGGTTCGCATCACTGTGATCAAGAGCTGAGAGTCAGATATGATAATGAGCGTTTGCTTCCTGACCAATCACAGCAGAGCAGCTCTCAGAGAGGCAGGGCTTAGAGAAAGCGCTGAAGCTGCAGTGGAGATTATGAGGACATTAGTGTGTTTGATGAATGTTATTTTATCTTTAATATAATATATCCCTGCTCTCAGAGATATCAGCATCACCTATCCAAAAAGCCCACACTGGTCGACCCCTAAAATCAGGACTATGGTTGGGAATCGAAAATAGATTCCAATATTTTGTTATAAGATTAATTTCAATTCCTCTTATTGATTCTTTAGTGAGCATTTCAATATGACTATAACCAGCCAAGCGAGAGACTCTGTCCTTGTGTGTATCGGACCCATGCGCTCTTAAAGGGACAGCGCTCCTATTCCTGCCGTCTCTATAATAACACTAATCACACAACAGAAGACAGAGAATTTACACTCGCTCTTCACTGAATAACTTTATATTAGTAATGTGTATTTTACATTTGATCAGTTTCTGAACCTGAAAATCTTAAAACTTTATTTCAGTCATATCTTTGTTCAGTTGTGTCTATTTGTTGCAATTGCTCATTTTTTATTTGTTCTTTTCTGATTACCAAGTGTTGACTTGTCTTTAATAATGCTTGATTAGTTCAGCTAGTTCGTCTGTGGTGTTTAAAACACAGGCAAACGCTTCTCCTGTAAGTGTTCTTTAGCTGATGATTTATGCTCATGATATTCAGATACAATTAAATATTTAGCAAGAAGACTAAATCTGAATGATATCCATGTTTTTTTTTTACCTTATTGGAATCGAAATGAGCAATCGCTAAGCAGAATCTTTCAAACAGAGCGACTGAAGCACGGCTGTCCTGCGAGCCTGTAATCTTCTGAGCGCGTGACTGAGCCTGGACTCAGTGTTTGCTCAATCAATGGCAGACGAAGGTCACTTGTGGAGTTCATTACCTCTGCCTCTTCCTCGTCCTCTTCCTCGGCCCCGACCCCGGCCTCGGCCCCTGGCCCCGGCTCTGTACGGCGCTCCCTCGCTCTTCACACTCGACACCTCGTCATGGTCATCCCTCAACTCCTGATCGTACTTCCCGCTGTGCCAATCTGCACACACACACACACAAAGAGAAAGAGTTGTTGGTGAGCCTGACACCAGTGACGTCAGAAGGTCAGGTCTGAGGGCAGGTAGTTTGATTATGTAGTGATCATCCCTATGTCCTCTTCTCTGAAGACTGCTTCTCTTTCCCAGTTAGGGAACTGGCCGACTGACAGCTGCTCTCCAAAACTGGAAGTACAGCATACACTCGTGTGCATATAGATAGTGGGTTTGCATATCATACAAGATAAAAAAAGTTTGTAGACAAACCAAGTTGGCTTGAAAATGCCTAGCCAGAAAATTTGAAGTAGTTTTAAAGTTTGAAGGTTTTCATTTTAAACTTTTTAGGGTTTAGTAGTTTTAAAAGATAGATGGATGGATGGATGGATGGATGGATGGATGGATGGATGGATGGATGGATGGATGGATGGATGGATGGATGATGGATGGATGGATGGATGGATGGATGATGGATGGATGGATGGATGGATGGATGGATGGATGGATGGATGGATGGATGGATGGATGGATGGATGGATGGATGGATGGATGGATGGATGATGGATGGATGGATGGATGGATGGATGGATGGATGGATGGATGGATGGATGGATGGATGGATGGATGGATGGATGGATGGATGGATGGATGGATGGATGGATGGATGGATGGATAGATAGATGGATAGATAGATAGATAGATAGATAGATATAGATCTGGGTTGTTGCTAGGGTGTTGCCATGTGGTTCCTAAGGTAGTCAGGGTGGTTGCTATGCAGTTGCAAAACTATAATTTAATGTGAAATTAAAGCCACAATGAAAAGGAAGTAGAATTAGATCTTTTCTTCCGCAGTGTGACGGATCTGAATGTAGCAGATCAGCAGAAAAGAATAAATGTATGGAAGGGTTTGGATGTTGAGATGTGGGCGTGGCTCTCAAAAGTGTATGCAGATGAGCGCCCGCTTGCTTAGCTAGCTTAAACCGGACTGCGCGATTGGAGCACCCAGAGCATGTCACTGGAGAGACGACCGATGTGGATCAAACTAAGAAAATGACACGCATGCTCAGATGAGCTGTTCACAATAAGATCTATAATTTGCTTTTCGCGAATAGATGCGATTTTATTCCATGCTGACGTTAATGTAAGCAGACAAGATCAAACAAGTGCGAAACATGATTGAATAACAAATATATGTAATCTTAAATTGTGGTTTGCCTTGTATGAAACAGTAATATGCACACGTGTTTCCGCTAATGGAGATAAGCAGAAAGATGAAGGTGTGTTTTATCACGTGTAATCGCAGGTGTGGTACTGCATCAGATGGCCAGGATGTGGAGCAGTGCATTAAGGGAAGCGAGTGAATACCTCTCAGGTCGTTCCTGCCGCCCGGAGGGATCCGGTGATCAAACTGGCGCGTGTTGTTCCTCGAGGCCGAGCGCTCGCGCGGACCCTCAGACTTCACCTCGATCATCAGAGGAACCCACTTGTGCTTATTTCCTGCAACATCACCAGCATCATTAGCTTTCACACTCACACATCTTAAAGGAGGAGTTCACTTCAGAATTAATATCTCCTGATCATCTACTCTCCTCCACGTCATCCGAGATGTTCATGTCTGTCTGTCTTCAGTGGAAATGAAGGTTTGTGAGGAACACACTCCAGGCTGTTTCTCCATACAGTGTCTTCAATGGGGTCCAACAGGTCGAAGGTCAGATGTGAGTTTCAGTGCAGCTTCAAAGTCGAGGAATAAGAGTCTGGAGTGTGTTCCTCAAAAACCTTCATTTCTTTTCCACCGAAGAGACAGACAGACATGACCATCCTGGATGACGGAGGAGAGTAGATGATCAGGAAATGTTCATTCTGTGAACTAATGCTTTAAAATCTAGTAAAGCGTTAAACACCTCTCTTTTTGTGTCCGTTTTTCTGCGACTCCTCGTCCGTGTTTTTCTCCTCTCCAGAGTCGTCAGACTTGGCTTTGAGGTTTTCTTTGCTCTCTTCATTTTCCCTCTTTCCCTTGGACTCTCGCTTCACCGCCGACTTCTTCACAACCTGACGTGTTCATCAAGAGACAAACGCAATCATATTGTGATATTTTCACTAACTTGTCAAAAGGAAGCCGATTGTAATGATGAATCTAACCCTCCCCCTAGAGGACCATATTTTGCACATGTTGTAAAACAAGCGCTAACTTCAGGGTTCGCAGATACTGCAAAATCTTTAAGCACTACAAATCAGAGATCTAATTTATAAAACAACATCTCTCTTGATTATATTTCAAATTCTAACAAAAGGTAAATAGATAAAAAATGAACTACACATATAAAAAAAAGGTGCTAATAAAGTGCAGCAGAAGCGATGACTGAAAACTTGAAATGATTCTCTGACACAGATATCGCTTTCCTGATTCACACATGAACATATGACTGGCCTGAAGAATGAAAGCTGCTTGGATATCTATAAGAGCAATATCACACTCATAGCCTCTATATCAGACGGACTGCAGCTTTAATTCTGTGGGCAAAGATTGTTTTATCAATAAAATGTAAAATAAATTAACCATCTATGGTTTCAATAACTCCAGCACGTCTTCATAAATATGGCTGTTTCAAGGAGTTTCCAGGACTTACATCTCCAAAAGTCAGATTCAATCCCCCTGTGCGCGCCCTGTCAGTCAGTGGCGAGTCAGTGCAGAGACGCACGTCAGGACTGATCTCTGATCAGGTATAGGTGGAGAAACACCGCTGGGGCTCCAGTCAGATGTGTGGCGCTCTTACCTGAACTTCTTTGGTGGCAATCTCTCCAGGCGTCGGCCAGTTGTTCGTGTCTCCGAAATCCCCCACCTTTAAAGACATCGGAGCGTTAAACCCGTTTGACAGCAGCTCACTCACACACACACACACACACACACTAGGGAAGGGCGATATGGCCAAAATATTTGGGTTTTTTTTTGTTAAATGTCGATATATATATATATATATATATATATATATATATATATATACACATACATATCGGTATTTTCTACATTTTTCTATTTGAATAAAGACAATCTGTATTTTTTAACATCCCGCCACATGATATCCTACAAGCAATGTTGATATTGAAGGATATGGAAAGAAATATAGTGAATTTAATGTAGGCTATGCAATATATTATGTCTAAAAAGGTGCTGAAAAATCACAATACATTCTAACATTATAATATAATAACAAAAATAATTCTTTTGTTTTGAAATTCACTCAAAGTTAAAATAAAAAAAGAAAGTAAAAACAAAAGCACAAACTATTTATATTAGCCTGCATTTGATTACTCCATTATAATGGTCACTTTCATAAAAATACTTTAAAACTTGTAGGTTTAAAATCCCGCATATGGGTTATTTATTGTCTCCAACAACCAATATTCAGAAAATCTACCAAAATTCGGAATTATTGCGCTGCTATTCTATTGTGCTCGTCTGATTGGCGGACGCTTGAACATTAGCGGAGATTTTCTTGCAGAAGCGTCCTGACACTGACGTGTGTGTGAGTGTCTAACACCGCAGATGGAGAACACACCCCTGAACTCGAGAACAACACCAATGACATAATTATCGTGTTAGAGTCCGACACACTGAGAGCCATCACATCTATGTGAGGAGAACGAACACATTTACATCTGAACACACATTTACGATAAACCGCAGGTGTGGATGCTGCTACAGTCATCGCTCTCGGCCTGAACGGACCTTCAGTCTTTACAAGCCACTCTCTTCAATAACTGTAATGTTGCAAACCTGGAAAGCAGTGTGTGTAAAGCAGTGTGTGTAAAGCGGTGCGTGTAAAGCGGTGCGTGTAAAGCGGTGCGTGTAAAGCAGTGTGTATAAAGCAGTGTGTATAAAGCGGTGTGTGTAAAGCGGTGCGTGTAAAGCAGTGTGTATAAAGCAGTGTGTATAAAGCAGTGTGTATAAAGCGGTGTGTGTAAAGCGGTGCGTGTAAAGCAGTGTGTGTAAAGCGGTGCGTGTAAAGCGGTGCGTGTAAAGCGGTGCGTGTAAAGCAGTGTGTATAAAGCAGTGTGTATAAAGCAGTGTGTATAAAGCGGTGTGTGTAAAGCGGTGTGTGTAAAGCGGTGCGTGTAAAGCGGTGCGTGTAAAGCAGTGCGTGTGTAAAGCAGTGCGTGTAAAGCAGTGTGTGTGTAAAGCAGTGCGTGTGTAAAGCAGTGTGTGTAAAGCGGTGTGTGTGTAAAGCAGTGCGTGTGTAAAGCAGTGTGTATAAAGCGGTGCGTGTAAAGCGGTGCGTGTAAAGCGGTGCGTGTAAAGCGGTGCGTGTAAAGCGGTGCGTGTAAAGCAGTGCGTGTGTAAAGCAGTGCATGTGTAAAGCAGTGTGTGTAAAGCGGTGTGTGTAAAGCGGTGTGTATAAAGCGGTGCGTGTAAAGCGGTGCGTGTAAAGCAGTGCGTGTGTAAAGCAGTGCGTGTAAAGCAGTGTGTGTGTAAAGCAGTGCGTGTGTAAAGCAGTGTGTGTAAAGCGGTGTGTGTGTAAAGCGGTGCGTGTGTAAAGCAGTGTGTATAAAGCGGTGTGTGTAAAGCGGTGCGTGTAAAGCGGTGCGTGTAAAGCGGTGCGTGTAAAGCAGTGCGTGTATAAAGCAGTGCGTGTAAAGCAGTGTGTGTGTAAAGCAGTGCGTGTGTAAAGCAGTGTGTGTAAAGCGGTGTGTGTAAAGCGATGCGTGTAAAGCAGTGTGTGTAAAGCGGTGTGTGTAAAGCGGTGTGTGTAAAGCAGTGCGTGTGTAAAGCAGTGCGTGTAAAGCAGTGTGTGTAAAGCAGTGTGTGTAAAGCAGTGTGTGTAAAGCAGTGTGTGTAAAGCAGTGCGTGTAAAGCGGTGTGTGTAAAGCAGTGCGTGTGTAAAGCAGTGCGTGTAAAGCAGTGTGTGTAAAGCAGTGTGTGTAAAGCAGTGTGTATAAAGCGGTGCGTGTAAAGCGGTGCGTGTAAAGCAGTGCGTGTGTAAAGCGATGCGTGTAAAGTGGTCCTGCTCCTGTAGAGCGACTCAGAGAAGGCCACTCACCTTTCCTCCGCGCCGCGCTCGGGTGTTCCCGGCCTTCACCACCTTTGTGGGACCAGAATGCTCTAGAGGAGCAAAACAAGAGCATGACATTTAAAAACAGGTCAAATAAACTCAATTTGAAGTATTTATGTAAACCTCGTTATTCTAATCACACTAGTAGAATTTCAGACAAGCAGAGATTTAGTGCCAGCATTCAAAGCTATTCTCATGGCAAATATCATGTAAATACAATAAAAACACAAACATCAAGTCCAAGTCACATTATACAAGAGTTTTTTAATTACCATACGATAAAAAAAAAAACATTTCAGGGCTAATTTTGCTCGAGTCTTTAAGCGAGGTAACTTCATAAAGAGTCACACATGCTCCAGGACGAACAAGGAGACGCACACACATCTAACAGGTTTAGAAGAACGCCTGGTGCAAACACACACTCACACACACACACACACACACACACACACGAGAAGCTGTGCTCAGGTCAGAGAAGCTCCTGTGATGCAAACGCTACATTAAATGTGTTTATAACGTCTGCCACGTGATCCGGGTCAACTCAGGCTTTCAGCAGATGATTTACTCTCTGATGAAAACATACAATAACATATTTCATCCAAATGATGCGCCTTTCTGTTGAGTCACACACAGGAGTGTGTGCAGATACCCATCAGACACTGCAGCATCTTCAGTTAGAACACGAGTGCCAAGCAAAGCTGTCTGTAACTTGGGGAAATTATTACAGTGTTTAGAACAGCACATTTTAACAATATTGTAATAAACACGATCTATAAACATCTATCGTTGCAACCAGTCTACAACACAAAGTAATGATTTCCATAAAGAACTGTATTCTCTGATTCGGTTTACATTATTAAAGTATTGTATAACGTTTTTAAAAAGTAGCCCATCTCTCTATGACACAAGGTTAGAGACCTGAAACCAGCTTGAATATATAAATGAAGTTCTGTCTGGGATTATGACATTCAGACAGTGGATACTATAATCATAAATACTCGTATAATATTTGGCCAAGAATGTTCATTTGGGTCATAAGCTGTTTGTGTGAACCGGATTACTGGTAACTTGCTTTGTGTGATTTGAGTCTGTTCCAGCTGTAAGAGTGTCAGCAGACACTCACACACACACACACACACACACACACACACACACACGTGTGGTCTGAACTCAGTCCTCTCAGAGATCGGTCTGTTGCTACAGTTTCCCATTCATTGCCTAAAGTCTGGAAGTCCATCAGTTTCATAATGCACACGTCACTGAACAACACAAGGTCTTTAGCTTTGAGTTCTGGACACTATGCTTGCTGATGTCCTGAAGTGTGTGTGACCCCTGCTGGCTTCATGTTAAAGCACACAGTTTCCAACCAAGAATACTTACAAGAGAGTAGGGTTGGGGATCGAAAATGTATTACAATTCTGTAATCGAATACTTGTTATAAAATAAACATTTCGATTCCTCTGATCATTTTAACTAACGTTAACCCATTAAAGTGCAGGACAACTCGTGTTCTCTGTCCTCGTGTGTGTATCAGTGTATCGGACCCGTGCGGCTCTTAAAGGAACAGCGCAGATATTCCTATAATAACACTATTCACACACAACAGAAGACAGAACACACACTCGTTCTTCACTGAATAACTTTTGCAACTTAATTTTGTAATCTGTACTATGTTTATAAAGTGTTATTTTACATTTTATTACAGTTTCTTCCTGAACACCTGAAAACACTGTTTATTTCAATCATATCTTTGTTCAGTTGCGTCTTTTGCAATAATAATGATGAAATGTTTATTAGTCAGGCTAGTTGTTTTCCTACAGGCATATGTTCTCTGTGTAAGTGTTCTTTAGCCTGTTGATTTTTGTTTATGATATTCAGATATGTAAGGTTGTTTTTTTATACCTTATTGGACCCGAAATGAGGAATCGATACGAATGGGAATCGATGAGCAGATTCAAGCGATCCCCAACCGTAGCAAACACACACCAGCGCGTGAGAAAAGATCCCGTCTCTGCTTTAATATAACATTCTGATGCCGTTTACGGTCTTCGTCGGGGACTATTTTCTAGCAGAAGAATGGCATAGGGGTGCAACAATATCACAATACAAAAATGCAACAATGTGCATCATAGACAGTTCACCCAAAACAAAAGTCTTCAGAGTTTTAGTGTCAGTACTACTATATATAATGCATAATAACGCATTAGTATAATAGTGTAAAAAAGTGGGCTACGTTATTTTAAATACATCTAGTCAGTGACAGAGAGCAAGAATATTGGTCTAAAATAATTCAGTATTTTCAGCTTCAGAATCATGAATACTGTTATTCTGGTGTCTTTGGGTGTCACCACCAAGACCAAGAATATTCCTTTACACACACACACAATGCAACACCAAATTTACCATATTAATCTAAAGTTCATTTTTTGTTAACCTTTTACCACATGTCTTGCAGTATTGCAGTAATATCGTATCGTGAGTTCAGTATCGTGATATGTATCGAATCGTGAGTTCGTGACATGAGGGGATCGCTACACCCCTGATAGATTTTATATGTGTGTATATATATATATATATATATATATATATATATATATGAAGAGTTCAGATGCAAAAGCCTCTAAATGCCATTTGAAATTTTCATCTTTAATGATGATTTTTATCAAACTTGTACATTTAAGTTCAGTAATTTCACTTAAATAACAATTAATAGGTAATTATCATTGCCATTTAAGTGAAATCACTAAACTTAAATATACAAGCTTGATAAAAATAATCATTCTAGAAGAAATTTTCAAATGGCACTTAGAGGCTTTTGAATCTGAACTCTTCATATATATATATATATATATATATATATATATATATACACACACACACACACAATTCAATTCCTGCATATTGACTCCATCGCCTGAGTCTCCGGGCTCTCAGTGGCTCTTCTCTAAAGGGAACACAGTAGTAGTCAACTGTCATGACGTCACTCAACGCATTCTGAGTCTAAGCAACATTGATCAGTCGGCCTTCGCTAATTAATTACCCATCCGCATTAGCTCGTGAAGCCCATACACACACACACACACAAACTGCGAGCCGGAGCAGTGACTCGCTTCTGTCCGCATGTGATCACATGGCATAAACCACGTTGCCTTCATCCAGGGGAACTCTGGGATTGATAGCAGCTCCACGAGCCCTTAGTTACAGCATTTCTGCAGATGAAATGAAGCAGTGCGACGATGCCATGCGTGCGATCCCGTCCATGAGTCGATCGAGCACATGAATATTAATAAAAGAGGAGTGATCGGAAGCTAACTGCTAACGGCTAACAGAAGGGCTGGTGCGTGCACGTGCATTAAACACCACGAGAGAGACAAACTGTCACGAGCGCCCTTTAAAAAAATACACCATTTGACCAGATATGCGCTTAAAAACGCTTTTACGTGAATCCGAACGAGTTCGTGACAAACACGTGGATCTCACACGTGTCGTGCCATAACATAAAGCGGATAATCACACGTCCAGCGATCGCTGCATAACACTGTAAACAAAGGCATCTCATCTAGTCTGACAACATCACGTAACACGATAAATAATCGTGATTTTATTCGCAGCTGATGTTACAGTAAAGCGGCACCGGCCCCGGCCTGTCAGACGAGCTCGATCCCCATAGGCCGCTAATGCTAATGCTAACCCGATAGCCATTTGTTCAGAAAAGCGATGAAGGTGAACAACAAGAAGACATTTAGCGTCTCATCTGCGACTATAATTCACACAATTATGGTTTGCTTGGCATTATATCACTGCACTCATGTACGAGTTGATTCTGTGAGTCCCGAAAGAGATTCGAGGCCTAGAAGTGCCAACAATCTGCTGTCATGTGTGTGAGAAACGCGATAAACATCATTTGACATCCCAGCGGACAAAAACACCTTCTCATCCACTAATACACGCGTTATTACTGAGTGTTTTGAGGGAACGTTCTATTGTGGGAACGTTACAGTTGCACGTTCTTAAACCAGTGGCAACATTTAAAAAAGCCGTTAGATAGTATTCCTACTGAAACGTTATTAACGGACGCGTGAGGTTGTTTAAAATGCTAACGTTTCGAGCCAGACCGTTAACGTTATTACTTAACATGTTCCCTCATAGATGTGCCTCAAGATGATGAACTCACTCGTTGCCAACGGTTTGTTGTGTTAAAACACACACACACACACACACACAGGTAACGTTACAGACCGTGCAGCGCTTGTCCGTTGACGCCGCTCATCTTCTTCGTCCACGGGTTCACCTTGGGCGGCGGAGCCTCGGTGAACTCCGTCTTACACGCGTCGTCTTCGCTCTCCTGCTCCAGGTTCTCCTTCGCCTGGCTGTTGCTCTCGTCCTTCGCCCGTTTCAGGCTCTGCTCCTTCCCCACAAACCCCCCGTCTTCGCCGGCCTGGTGCTCGAGCTCCTCCGGCTTGAGCAGCGAGTTGTTCGGCAGGAGAGTCTCCACCTCAGTGGCCATTTCTCCTCTAACAAACACCCCTCAAATCCACCGCAATGATCAGCGAACGACGTGTGTGCTTCCAGCGGGAGCCTCTCGCACTCTCCACTCCACCCCTAGACCAAACAGGCTTCAGTCTAAGACGCAGAGTGGCTAATCTCAATTAAAACATGTAAAAAGAACCCCTGGAACCTTTAAAACGACGGACTAGTCTTCCCTACTTACGGCAATGTGAAAGAACCACGCGTTGTACGTGAGCGCGCACGTACGCACGCGTAGCGGGGCGTGGCAACGATAGGCCGCGACACCACGTGACTGTCCTGCATTTAAAAGAAGAGAAGAATTAAATTGTAATTTGAAGTTTTTTTTATTTGGCATATTTAAAATAAAATAAAAATAAACTCGTTCCTCTTATATGTTTAATTTAAAAAAAAACTTTCTGAAAACATTTTTACACAATAAGGTGACAGTTATCTGATCTGATAGTATTTGGGTATTGCTCATGTTATTTGGTACTGTGTATCCATCTTGACAATCACGTTCCTTTAGATAGAAAAAAAACACTGATAATAATGAAAATACCGCCCAATTATGATCACAATGATTTTATTTGACCTTAAAGTACCCATTACATCAAAATTAACCATTATTTTTTTATGTTCTATAATCCGTACTGCATCCGCCATGTTGCATCAGTTGTGTCTCTTCACTGGCATTCACAACTTCTCATTGGATACTGTAGGCCACTGTTTTATGAATAGACATACTAATCTTTTTATTTACATAATATGTATATAGTGTGGAAGTATGTGATGTTGGATGCAGCCTTCTCTGATGGCAAGGGTGAGGCTATAACCTGTCACTCACATGAGATCAGCCAATAGCAAACCACAACTATCCAATCAATTCCCCAAAGAAACAATCAAGCCACGCCCACATGTGTTCTTGCTCCAGAAGCGTTTCACTCAGATATACGACACAATAGAGGAGAAAAGACCAGCGCCTCCGATACTCTACTGAAAACTAAAAAGTTTGGTTTTGTTTAGTTCTTCGTCATCATGAAAGTGTATTATCTGCAGTTGTGGGTGTGGCCTACGCTAATAGGGTGGAGTCCATCAGCAGTTGTGGGTGTGGCCTATGCTAATAGGGTGGAGTCCGTCAACAGTCGTGGATGTGGCCTATGCTAATAGGGTGGAGTGCGTCAGCAGTTGTGGGCGGTGCCCTATGCTATTAGGGAGGAGTCTGTCAGCAGTTGTGGGTGTGGCCTATGCTAATAGGGTGGGGTCTGTCAGCAGTTGTGGGTGGGGCCTATGCTAATAGGGTGGAGTCTGTCGGCAGTTGTGGGTGTGGCCTATGCTAATAGGGTGGAGTGCGTCAGCAGTTGTGGGCGGTGCCCTATGCTATTAGGGAGGAGTCTGTCAGCAGTTGTGGGTGTGGCCTATGCTAATAGGGTGGGGTCAGTCAGCAGTTGTGGGTGTGGCCTATGCTAATAGGGTGGGGTCAGTCAGCAGTTGTGGGTGTGGCCTATGCTAATAGGGTGGGGTCAGTCAGCAGTTGTGGGTGTGGCCACAAAAGCTACAATCTGCAAACAGCTTGTTCTCAGACACTGCTTATGATTAATGATGATTAAAAAAAGAGGAGTGGATGGTTTTTATCTTCATATGGTGGTTGTGTACACACACTGCCAACACACATTTATGTTCAAACACCATTTCAAAGTGAATTTTGAAAAAATAGGTCCGATTTAAGGAATATATGTGAACGCATGAGACTAGAAACACAAGCTAAAGCAAACACCTTTTCCAGCAAAACTGATGAAAGGTGCGCTCGCTCACACTAGACTTTATTATTAAAATACATTCAGCAAATAACTAATCATAATATATCCAAAAAGTAAAAATATACAGCCTAAATCAGAAATATAAGTGATCTAGCAAAAAAAAAAAAAAATCTAGCAAATGATATTCTGTGATGCAGTCTCAGTAGTAAAAAAAATGTCTGGAGCTTATATATACTGGAACATTTATTAAGAATGAATTATGGATCAAAAATATATTGTTGGCCAAGCCTGATAGCGGTAGGCGTATTAATGAGACTCTGATGACTCTCATCTGCGCTTCACCTCATTCTCTGAGCGCATGCATCAGTGCCACGTGAGCGTATTGTTCCTCTTCACAGAGTCATCAGCGGCGAAACGGCCCCTGGCTCCCAGCACAAAAGCTCAACTCAGCAGCTGGTCAGCAAATCACAGACCAAAGCTTTAAAACGTGGATTTGCTCAATAAGCAGTGCAGACCAAGGCCACTTCAAGTCCATGGCACTCACAAACATGACCAGCTCTGATAAACAAACCATAGCAAAAATATGTTCTAAGAACGGTTTGCAAAAAGTTATTCTGAATGTGAATGTACAAAAAAAAGATCTTGGTTATATGAACATTAATGGAACATCCTTTGTATAATTCTTCAAACGTTATGGGAACGTTACTTTCTAATGTTTTCTGAACGTTCTGAAACAAGGAGTAACATTTTAAAACATTTGAACAAATTAACGCTTTACTAAAATGTCTCAGAATAAACGTTTCATATACAATAAATAAAGTTTTTTAAGTTTTTGAGAAAGTTATTAAAGACCAGATAACTTTGAATGAACGTTGTATTAATGCTAATATGGTTCATAACTTTAAGAGAAACTTGAGATTGTTCACTGTTAGTTAGTTAAGTTTTTTGATATTATTTTCTTGTCATTTTTGTTTTAACTATTATTTTCCCCTGCTGAATCTAAGACAGTTTAAATTGGTTATATTTTGTAATATGGGTTCCACAAGACTAAAAAGAAAACATGCAAATGTCCAGTTCTCTTGTAGTGATAATAATGTTAAATGTTACAAACTTAACCTTATTTCTACTCACAACATAACATTCTTTGAACATATATTTGTGGTAAAAGTGTTGTGTTGCATTAACTACACAAACACCACAGTAAACTATGGTTAGCTACTTTGACCAAGTGTTGTGTTACTGTGCATTACACAAATACCAGTAAAACCATGCTTCTTTGCTAAATGCATGGTAATGTTGTTACTGTGTTTTAACTACAAATAAATACCACAGTAAAACTTAAAAAATGTTTATGTGGTTAAAATGGGGTAGCTAACTGATGTGGCTTCTTTTACTGACAGGATCGAGCTACAGTTACTGCGGCAAAATCACATTATTATAAGCCCTTTCTCATGTGAGATGTTGGACTCGTCATATCCAAAGTTAATCATAAAGAAATTTCAGGTAAATCATCTAACACGGAAATGTTATTGATGAAGTCACAAGAATCTCTATGATAGGACAAGTGAACAAACGATTTAATAAATAAAAAAATCAACAAAGTGGGATAAGAGAGAAAAAAGAGAACAGTTTTAGGCACAATTGGTTGCCCTGTGTGAAATACAGGCCTTATCGGATGCTGACAATAAGTCAAACTCTAATGATTTTATTGATTCTGAAGAAAAAAAGTCTATTATAATAATCAATTTAGTGAATAATTTACACTATTGATGGGAAATGTCAAGGTATCTTGTTAAACATATTGAAAATAAAAATCTATTTTATTCTGTTTTATGTGAGCATTTTAAAAATAATATAAACTTTGTAATAGTGTTTTAAATGTGTTCACATACTCCTTATTGTTTAAAAACACAAGTAACTATGGTCAGTCAAGCAATTATTACCGTCCTAATATTATTCTGTAAATATGATCCATGTGCGTTTGGAACGAACCTGTTGAATTAATTCTAAAATTCACTCATACTCAGAAACTCACTTGCACTGTAATGCTGCGTGTAATCTACAGGAAGAGTCACCGAATGAATCAGTGAATGAATCTTCTTGGAGAACCGAATTGAACAAAATCTGTTAGTGTTATGGTTCTTCTTATTATGGTAATAGTTTAGTAATCGAGGAAATTCTCCCAATATTAGTCATGTCACGCACGGAACGACATGCCTTGGCTTACTTCAGTAGTTTGGAGTAGATTCTCAATTTTAAGGAATCGACAAGTTTTGGGAATCGACACCTTTCTCCCCCTCCCCCTCCCCCTCCCTTCAGTTTTCTCCCGCGGTGACGAGACGTGACGTGTGATGTCCAGTTTTACGAGAGCCTGACAAGAAGTTAAATGGTACGTTTACACCTTATTTAACAATTTTTAATTATCATAGCATAACAGGATGAGTTATCCGAACCTGTTGATGAATACATTCTTTGTTTTGTTTTTGTTTTTTGCCAAATGTACATGTAATGGAAATCATCTAGCTCCACTCATTTGTTACTGGGGCGATAGAGCGCGTTCGTGACAACACAATACTAACATTACAGGCGATACATGGAGACCGGGAACAACTGCAATAGTAGTGACCACCCTATTCATATAATAGTGTCACTAACGTTACATTAGATCTGGCTTATGGCACTGTTACAGTAGGCTAGTCATCTAAAAACATAACAGAACACTTACCGCAGCCGCAGGGGATCCACCTTGCCCTGTCTGTGATATCGATGGGTTGGCCCTTCAGCACACGTTTCATGGTCCGTGTGGCAAATTCCATTTTTTCAAAATAGTCGTCCTCAGTGAAATGTACTGAGCAAACACGATGGTCCTTTTTATGATCTCTTCAGGTGTGTTTGGATCTAAAGTGATATCCAGTGCAAGTAACTTAGCCATGCTAGCTGGAGCCATTTACATCCAGTCTTTGTGCTAAGCTAGGCTAGCGGTGGGTGCGTCAGACAGAGTTACAGCACGCACGGAGATGAAAAAGGTATGTATGGACTTATCTAACTACGGTGGATACGTGAATAAGCTAAAGTCCCAAAAAGTAGGCGTGTTCCTTTTAAATTAAATCGTTCTAAAACTGATATTTTGTTAATTGACACTTCAATTAATGTTAACAAGTGTAACAACTTAAATCTTGCCATGGACAATAGCCCAATTTCTCCTTCTGTCCAGGTGTAGAATTTGGGTGTGATTTTTAATCTTCCAAAAAAAGTGTCTTCACAATATTGCCAATATTAAACCTTTTCTTTCAAGGCCCAATGCAAAACGGCTTATTCATGCCTTTATTACATTGAGGGTTGATTACTGTCATTTACTTTTTTCAGGGTCTAACATCAAATTCTACTGGCTTCCAGTGCACGCATTGGTTCTTATATGAATGGACTTAAAACTTATCTCTGGAGTACACACAGTATATTGGTGCCATCAAATCAATAAATCAC